CTGCTGGCGCTGACCACCACCGGAGCCGACCCTCTGCGCAGCGCCACCCCGACCAGCTCCACCTCCTCCGCCGCCTCCTCCTCCACCGCCGCCACCTCCGCTCCCTCCGCCACCGCCGATGCCGCCTCCGCCTCCACTGCCGCCACCGACACCTCCACCCCCGCCACCACCCCCACCGCCACCCCCACCCCCTCCACCGCCCCCACCACCGCCTCCACCGCCCCCGCTAGCTCCTCCAGCGCCCCTGCCCCCCTTGCCCTTGCCAGGGCGGCGTCTCCCGCTAGGGGTAGACGCTGCCCCAACCGACTCCAAACCAGCGAGGTCGGCCGCAGCAGCAGAGGCAACAGAGGGCAAAAGAGGGGAGGGGGAACACCCCTCAAAGATGGGGGTGCGAGGGTCACCACGAGAGGCTCCTACAGCGACTATGCTCTTTTCTGCTGCTAGGAGGGCCTTCTCGAGGAGGTCAACAGTGAGAGTGGTGGGGCAAACCGAGAGGAAGTGGTCCCTGACTACGCGAAGGGAGTCAGGGAGACGGGTGACTATGTAGTAGAGGGTGATGTACATGGGGGGGGGGTTCTTGGCGCAGAACTCAGCAGGAAGCGCAGCGCGGTAGCGAGTGTCACTAGTGCGGAGGTGCGTAATGAGGTCAGCGACTGTGGGAAAGGCAGCAAGGTCAGGGAAGAGGTACGGTAGCATGAGGCGGCTCAGTGCAGCAGTGGCAGGGGAGGAGTAGCGTGCAACTACAGCGTCGTACAAGGTCTGAGCACTCTTGTACTGGCTAAAGTGCGCACGCTCAGAGGTAGGCAGGTGGCGACGCACAGCAAGACGTGCAGCAGCATCGCGCGTGGCCCACTGTGAGCGAACAGTGGCGTCAGCATCAGCAGCGGGGGCAGGAGAGGCACCAGAAGTGAGGTCAAAGAGGGAGAGGCCGTCTGCCCTATCGCACTGTAAGAAAAGCTGCAGGTCATCTATCCAGACTTCAAAGTCAATGGCCCGACCCTCAGCGTCAAAAGCGAGGACACTAGGGGTAGCCATGACAGCAGTAGACTAGTAGCGCAAACAGTAGGGTGAGGGCAGTGCTGTGAGAGAGGCGCTGCTCTTACCGGACAGGGCGGCTCGGGCGGCTCGGCTGCAGGGCGGCTCGGCGACTCGGCGGCTGGGCGGCTCGGCTGCAGGGCGGCTCGGCGACTCGGCTGCTCGGCGGCTCGGCGGCTCGGCTGCTGGGCTGCTCGGCGGCTGGGCGGCTCGGGTGCTGGGCGGCTCGGCTGCTGGGCGGCTCGGCTGCTGGGCGGCTCGGCTGCTGGGCGGCTCGGCTGCTGGGCGGCTCGGGTGGCTCGGCGGCAGGGCGGCTCGGCGGCTCGGGTGGCTCGGCAGCAGGGCGGCTCGGCGGCCCGGCGGCTCGGCCGCTGGGCGGTTCGGCGGCCCGGCGGCTCGGTCGCTGGGCGGCTTGGCGGGTGCGGCTCCTGATCAGGGACGGCGGAGGGGCCGGTGGGAGGCGGCGTCGGAGCCGGGAAGGGCGGCGCCGGGGCCGTAGGAGTAGGCGCCGGGGTCGTAGGAGCAGGGGCCGGGGCCGTAGGAGTAGGCACCGAGGCCGCTGCAGGGGAGGGCGACGACGGGGCCGCAGGTAGGGCGGCGACGGGGCCGCAGGTAGGGCGGCGACGGGGCCGCAGGTAGGGCGGCGACGGGGCCGCAGGTAGGGCGGCGACGGGGCCGTAGGTAGGGCGGCGACGAGGCCGCAGGTAGGGCGGCGACGGGGCCGCCGAAAGGGGCGGCGACGAGGCCGCAGGTAGGGCGGCGACGGGGCCGCGAAAGGGGCGGCGCGCCGGGGCCGCGAAAGGGCGGCGCGACGCGGCCGCGAAGGGCGGCGCGACGGGGCCGCGAAAGGGCGGCGCGACGCGGCCGCGAAGGGCAGTGCGACGGGCCCGCTAAGGGCGGCGCTAGGGGGCCGTGAGGGGCCTAGTGAGGGCGCGACGGTGATGAGAGCACACCGGGCGCGACTCGGGCCGGAGCGAAGCGCGCTCCGGGCAGGAAAAAAAAACTCGTAGTGGTGGGCCCTAGGAATCGTTCCCGTTAGGGAACCTGCTCGATACCATGAGAAGAAACAAGGAATGAATGAACTATGAATGAATTGGGTACAAGTACTAACCCTAATTGGGTTGTACCCCTTATGGGCTACCCCACTATAGCCTACACAATATGCATGAGCTATAATGTTCTGACATAGGGAACCTGCTCTATACCATGTGAAGAAATGAGGAATGAATGACTAAGGGAAAGGTTGGGTACAAGTACAAACCCTAGAAATGTGTTGTACCCCATATGTGCTACCACCCCACTATAGCCTACATAGGCTAAATCATATAAGTCTGACAGCGCGACGGTCTTCTGCCCGACGCGTCGCCCCGTGGGACCCGCGCGCCCCCCCCGCTGGACCCGCGCGACGCCCTGCGGGACCCGCGCGCTGCCCCCGCTGGACCCGCGTGACGCCCTGTGGGACCCGCGCGCTGCCCCGCTGGACCCGCGCGCTGCCCCGTCGACCAGCGCGCCGCCCCGTGGGACCCGCGCGTCGCCCCGATGGACCTGCACGCGCGGCCCCGTCGACCTGCGAGATGCCCCCGTCGACCCGCGCGCTGCCCCCGTCGACCAGCGCGTCGCCCCAGGGGACCCGCGCGCCCGGCCCCGTGGACCCGCGAGCGCTGCCCTGTGGAGCTGCGCGCCGCCCCTTGCCCTCGTGCAGCTGCGGGACGGCTTCTTCCCCGCCCCCCCCCCCCTCCTTTCCCGTCGTCTCTCTGCTACGCGTGCAGCCGTGGGGGAGGGTAAGGGGGTGGCGGGTATGGGGGTGGCGGGTGTGCGTCGTCCCGTGCTCCTCCTCCTCCTCTCTCTCCCACTACCGCAGCTGCCGCTGAGGGGGGTGGGTGTGTGGGAGCCGAGGGAGTCGCGCTAGGGGGTGCCGTGGGATTGGAGCTAGGGGTGCAGCAGGGGGTGTGTGAAAGGGGTTTGGGACAGTTGGGGGGGGTTGAGCGGAGGCAGCCGTTGTGTCGTCAGCAGCGCCAGTAGTCCGGGGCTCTGCTCCGGTAGCCCAGCAAGCCTGCTGCCCCGGTCGCCGGTGGGTCCGTTGCTCCTGCCGCTCGTCTTAGCCGCGGAGCCAGTTACTCCAGTAGTCCGGGGCGCTGCTCCGGTAGCCACTCCGTGTACGCGGCTCCTGTTGCCCGTGTGTCTGCGGCTTCACCCGTCGCCTCCTATCTCCACTCCTCTCACAGTCCCTCCTCCTCCTCACTTGCCTTCTGTGAATGCCTCTAGCTTTGCTTGTACTTGTGAACCTGCTCTATGACTGCTTGCTGTGCTGGTTATACCCTACTTTGACTATGGGGGTGTGTCAGAATGTGATATTTGTCTAGCCTGCAGTGGGGTACTCTATAGCGAGTATAGCCCAAATTAGGGTTTCCTATATGTACTCAACTGCCTGTTAGCGCAAACCTCTCTTTTCTGTTCTAAACTTCTGCTTGCTATCTCAACAAGTAGAACAATGCTGGTCCCATTAGAAGTGCTAAAGACATAACCTTGAACACTTGTTTTTTAACCCTGTTAGGTAAGGATTAATTTTTGCAGAAGCCCTGAAACCACAGGAAGCCTTTGATTTTATGCCCTGACAAATCAGGACAATTTTTTAGATTCCGGAAAGTTGTCCTGAGGCCTCAGGATGCCCCGAAAGCTAGCACGGGCCCTGTTAGGGGCATATATGCCTGTTAACTACAATATGTGAGTGCTGATTTAACCTAAATATTAGGTGCGACTCTATTAGACTGAATGTATTATACGCGTTAATTTTAATCTATACGATATTTAACCTCCGAATGGTTATAGAACATTTTCAAACGCGGAAAAACGAACTGAACCCTAGTCCAAGGTGCCCTCGAGACACGCACACGGAAATTGACAATTCCAGATTTCACTCACACCTGACCTGTCCAAGCATTCGTACCTAGTAGTGCTCACTACGCATCTGACTCATCAAGCCTTCTTGTTCAGCCATGGCAACGTCGAAGCTGGTGCTACGACAACAATCTAGGTCGTCTCGCGATGACAGCTTACATCAGCAGACGGCTCGCCGAGTATTATTCCCGAGACTTGTCCGGAAACGACGGTCCGATCGCGCTTTCCCAGTCCCCTTTCTGATTGGACAGGTTCTTTCGTTCAATGGCAAGAACCATCGTGTTGAGACGACGAATCGACGGTTTTGGGATGGCAGCATGAGGTTATGCGATAAGAAAGAACCGCCGAGCACTGATCCACCCTCATACGACTGAATCTGATTGGATGGTCTTATGCTCTGCCAAGACGATAGTCACTCACAATCGGATAAGCCTCAGCCTCGCGTGACTCGGGCAATGGGAACCAATCACAGCGTCGCCTGGTTCGGTTCGGAAAGCGTCCAAAGGATGGAAGCGTTGCGTTGCGTGATTGCAACTCAACTATGCCAATGGTCTCGTAGAATCAGCTAACTCTGGGATCACAAGTCTCGCTGGGCCTACAGCCATCGACCGAGAGAATACTACTACTACTACAGGCCTTTCTGTCAGTGAAAGCGACGGATTCGAATCCAAGGCACTGTTTGGCTTTAACCGATCATAGGCAAATTCGATAAGAATCTTGCAGGATCCGACATGGATTTCGAGGTTATTTTCAAATTCCCAGCTAGTCTGACGAATTGTGGATCTTGCGGCCGTACGAATAACAGTGGCGAGACAGCAGGATGCGTCACGGATCACGACGATTGTTTGAGTAGCAATAGCTTCGGAAATAAGCCGACTGCAGCGCACGTGGCCGTCTCTTTCACTGTTGCTCCCGACGAGCTTCTCTTTTCGGTTTTTAGCCGATTGTTCCAGTCCCACCTGCCCAACTGCTGCCTGCCATACGCGACACGTCAGCAGCAGGGAGGACAGGATAGGGTAAAATCGGTAGAGCAAGAATCTGAAATTCGGAAGCAGGAGGTTCTTTTCATGGCTGTTGGGCAACAAGTGTGCCTTTCTCCTGACTTGACCGTTGAGCAAGCCAAGCTTAGCGCGGGTACAACCATCAACGTGGCGTCCTTGAAAAATCAAAGGAATAAGGGCGTGGAGAAAGTCGAGCAATCCGGGAATCCTCCAACTCTTGCTTCTGCAACTGCAGTTTCTGGTTCTCTCCCTCCTAGTACTAATCCTGCTGCTGCAACTGCTGCTCCTTTTACCATCCAATTGGACCCAATCGAGCCCAGCAGCATGGAAGGCGAGGGGCACAAGCCGAGGAGAGGAGCTTCACCAGGGGTGGGTGGAGCAGGGCCGAAGTGCCTTGATTCTGATGCTGGCGGTAGCATGGAAGAGGAGCGGCACAAGCTGGAGGCTCCAGTTCCGACAAAATCTGTTAAAGCAGAGCTTAAGAGTGTTGACTCTGATGCTGGCAGTAGCAAGGAACAGGAGGAGGTCGTAGTGAGCGTAGAGAGCTTAGCAGAGTCTGTTCAGAAGTTGAAAGAGCAGTTTAAGAGTGTGGAGGCGGTGTGCTTGACACTCCAGACCAAGAGTGTTCGACTGGGACAGTTAACTGCGGCAGCTGGTGGGGAAGCAGAGCAAGTGGAAGCGAAAGAGGAAGAGGCAGGTGCTGGTGGAAAGACAAGCTTCTTACAGCCCGTTGAGGAATTGGAAGAGCACTTGGGAACTCTTAAGGTGCTGCAGAGGGAAGTAAGTTCTGCAGCCCAGACCGGCCAGAGTGAACCGAGTCAGCCTGATGAGGCCAACAAAGGGGCAGCAGACGAAGCAAGGGCGGAAGAAAGTCCAAAGCCGCGCCAGCTGCTGTCTCATGCCGATATGGTTCACTACTTAGATGTGACGAGCAGGTGGGATGAGGATCTGTGCGTGTGCTGCTTTGACCGTGCTGTGAGTCAGAGAGCACGGCGAGCACTTGCGATTAAAGACCTTGATGAGTTGCGTTGCCACCTGCGCAAGCTGCAGCCTCGTTCCATCCCCGCAGCAGCCCCGGAGCAGCAGCAGCACAACCAGGCCGCTTTTGAGTCCTGTAACGGGGCATTGGTGCAGGCGCTACGAGAGCAACATGGAGCTTCCCATCAGAGTCAGTCTGCGCAGAAGCCAGGGATGGCGCCTCGCCTTTGTGCGGAAGCAATGGTTCTCGAGTGGATGGCTGAGCCTCGTGTGGGCGTGCTCATGGACCTGGGGAGGATCAGATCCCGCCTGCCTGCTGTTTTGTGTGCCACTGCAGCTGCTCCTGCTGCTGCTTCCTCTTCTCCTGCTCCTGCTAGCGCTGCTGCTCCTCCTGCCCCTGCTGCTGCTGCAGCGTGGTCCTGCTGCTGGCGCTGCAGCAACTGCTGGGCTGCCTACCGTCGTGCTGTCAGCTTCTCAACATTCCTTTTGCTTGTAGCAAGATCCCCTCGCCTCGTGACTTTATGGAAAGCACACTTAGTTTCCTACTCGTCTGCCTGGCCAGCAATCGTCGCTGAGCTGGGGGCGAGCAGGCAGAGGGAGGGTGACAATTTCGCTTCCATGCTGGTGCAGGTGCTGGGGGTGAAGGAGAGTGCTGATCTGCAGAAAGGGTTTGGGTTCTTTGTGCAGCAACTGCTGTCAGGCGGGCTGGAGAAGGCGCATGCTGAGAGTAACGAGGGAGCTCGGGGTAAGGATGCTAAGAAAACGCATGTGGAGGGGAAGGAAAAGGGGAAAGCGGAGGAGAAGGCTGCTGAGATTACGCATGTGGAGGGGAAGGGCAGACAGGATGCGTCACATGGGGAGGACGATGGGAGACAGGGAGAGGAAGAGGCAGGGAGCAAGGTAGAGATTGTAAGTGTTCCTGGAAAGTGCGGGAGGGGAATTAAAGACGTGAAGTGGAGGGATAACCTGAGAGGACCTGTGTGGGAGAGGTATGTGGATGGCATGGCTTGGATTCTGGAGCATAGAGGGGGGAAACGGAGGGAGTTCCAGTGCAGCCACTGCAATGAGAGCGGCAACAGGAGGAGCAGCAGTATTGCTGGCAGCAGTGGCGGTGACAATGACAGCAGAAGCAGCAGCAGCAGCAGCAGAAGCAGCGTCAGCAGTTCTGGCAGCAGCAGTATGAACAGCAGTGCTCCGAGAGGTATGCATGTGAGTGGTGTAAATGCGATCGATTTCGCCCTTGCCGTCACCACAGTATTATCCAAACTAGAGCACTGGAAGGATGCAGAGTTGTTCTTTCATGATGGGAACTCGGCGAGCAAGGTGCAGGTAGAGAAGGCAGCTATTCTGGTGGCCAGGAAAAGGCTGCTGCACCGCTTGAAGCAGACAAGGGGGACGGGTGGAGGAGCAGGGGCAGATGTAGGAGGGGCTCCGCCTGTTACTGCTACTGCATGCGTTAATATGAATACTAAACCCATGCCTGCCAATACGAACGCTGTGGTTTCTGCACTCACGTATCGGGTCGGTTGCATATTGCAGTGGGTCCGAGTCTACGGCTCAGATTCCATCTCGGAGAAACAGTGCTTTAAGGACGACCCTCAGAACAATGTCCGGCCCATGCGCCACCCGCTTCGAGACCTTCCGAGCCTACTCGTCAGGTTCGGCGCCATTCCCAAGCCTTTGGAGGGAAGGAACGTTCCTTTGGAGTGGGAGGAGTGGCCTGGGGGTGACAAAGCTGCTGTGAAGTTTCCTGTGAACCGAAAAGAGAGGTGTTTTGGGCTTGGGATTGTGGAGGAGCATGGTGAAGCCCCTGAGAAGCTGACCCAGGACCCTCCTCAGCACACATCTGAAGCAGGAAGGGACGGCAGGCGTGCAAAGGATGCAGAAGGCCAAGGAGGTAGTCACGAAGGTGAATGGAGCATGGCGCGTGGGATAGCTGAAGCTGGAGGGGGCAGCAGGAGTGCAAGGCGGAGAGACTCCAAGGCAATAGAGCTAGGAGCTTGGGAGGAATCCTTGAAGAGCAAGGCGCGTGCGATAGCTGAAGAATTTCCGACCGCCGATGTGAGAGTGACAGTGCTACCACCGCCCAGAAGGAAGCTTCCCATCGTTCGCTGCCTGGCAGATGTGGATTTTCTGGTAGAGGTAGCTGGGTGCGTGATGGACCCCCCTGCATGCGCCCACTGCAAGGCGTGCTCCGCAGATTTCATGCTATACGCGTGCACCGTTGCTCTCATCGCCAACTTCGCTTACCGCCCCGTCAGCCATCTGTTCTCCCGCGTGCTCTCCCTCTTCCCGCCGCCCTCCCGGGCTTTGACGAGCTCGTTGACTGCCTCGAGTTCCCAGCGCGCCTGCGCAGGCCCTTGAACCTGCACATGCTGCTGAGGCGCGCCGAGCAGGTGCCTGTGTATTTCCTCCTTCACATGGCTATCTGGTGCGCCCATCCTCTTTTGGAAAGGAGTGAGTTCAAGAGGCGTGGCGTTGCAGCAGCGCAGGGAGTGCAGTCGGCGGCGAGCGAGGGAGGAGGGAAGGAAGGAGGAGAAGGTGGAAGGGTGGAGGTGCAAGGCCGCTGGGACGGTGAGGAGAGTCAGGAGAACGGTGGAGAGGTGTGGGAGGAGGTGCGGATGTGGTATTCCGCAGTGATGGCTGAGTGGAGGTTCAATGCGGAGGGTAAGGGAGAGAGCGAGGAGTGCAGAGGTAGCAGGGAGCAGGAGTGGACGGATGAGGAGTGTGACATCACGTGGCTTCTCGATGCAGCCATCTCGCCCAGGTACTGTGAGGGGCTGCCGGGGCAGCGTCGGTCTGCCAAGGGTAGCAGTGGCACTGGCAGCAGCAGCAGCAGCGGCGGCGGCGGCGGCAGCAGCAGAACTGGCCGTAGCAGCAGCAGCAGCAGCAGCAGCAGCAGCAGCAGCAGTGTTCGAAGGGGTGGCAGCAGCAGCAGCAGCTGTAGCAAGGGGAAGGGGAAAAAGGGGGAGGAGCCAGCTTATCTGAAGGCATGGCCAGGGGGGGTCAATCTGGTGGCATGTTTGCGTGAGATGCTGTTGGGGGAGCCGTGCTACCGTCCTGCCTCCCCTGCTGCCCTTTCCACCCCTGCTGCTGCTATGTCTTCTTGGTCTTCCGCCTCTCCCAACCCTGCAGCCATGTCTGCCATCCCTCCCAACCCTGCTGCAAAGAGCATCCGTGCTGCTGCTGTTCCAGACATGCAAGGCCGTGCCTGCAGTGCTGTTGTCACACTTGGCTCTGACCCTGCTGCTTGTGGGGTCCGTGTGTGCAGTGCTGCGGGGTGTAAAATGGTGGAGGGCGGTGGTGTGAAGTTCAAGAACTGCTCTGGGTGTGGCAAGGTGGCGTATTGCAGCAGAGAGTGCCAAAAGGCGCACTGGCCCTCCCACCAGCTCACATGCCCAGGCAGGAGCAGCGGGAAGAGGAGTGGGAAGGATGAGAGCAAGGAGTGCGGCAGGAAAACCGATGAGGAGAGTTGTTGTGAGGGCAGTGCCTGCCAATAGAGTTGGTGCAGGGAGGTGTGGAGATGGTGGATAGTCAGTTGGGGTCGTAATCAGTTGCACAGACAGCTGCATGGACAGTGTCATGCCATAGCAAACACAGCTAACAGCACATCCGCAAGGAGAGTTGCATGTACAGTTAGCCCGGGCGAGAGGGAAGGGTGCAGGGGAGAGCGGATGTCAGGAGGGCTATCATGTGTAAATAGATACTGCATTGTGGAATGTGTAGTTGTCTAGTATCACTTGTGCTTTGTACCGGTACCGTCTCCCCCCGGATATACCCCCATGGGGGGCAATAATAAAACAGGTTTTTTCAGGGGGGTGGGCTTATAATCGAGTAAATTTATAAGCGCCGGCGTTTATAAAATGACATATATTTTTTATATCTTTTAACACCAAACTGTAGGTCTCGTGCTTGCCTTTTCAATCGAGTCGAAGTTACATGGGGTCGTCTGTGAAATTCTCGCGCGCGCTGGGAGATACACCCAATCTGACTCACATCCAGCTCCTGACAGCTCCTGCTGACTGGACCCGCATCCAGTGCAGGGTCCGAATGTGAAGGGAACCGTATCTGCAACATATCCGCCTGCTAAAGTAAAAATCGTTACAGCGTTTTGAACACATTTCAAATTTTAAAGTTTACGTGCGCTTATAATAAAACAAGTTTTTTCAAGGGGTGCGCTTATAATCGAGGAGGGGATATAAGCGCCATATGCCAATTAGAAGCGCCAGGCGCTTATCCTAGGGTGGCGCTTATATCCGGGGGGAGACGGTAATTGGTGTTGTTTCGTGAAAATTGTAACGACAAAAACTGCCTGGCCTTGCTAACATGGATGGCTGAAACTCCTGCTTCAGAACGAGTGTCTGGTTGGTTAGTATTTTTTCACATAAAAACAAGATGTACTGCTTGAGAACGTAACCACGCTGAAACGCCCAGCGAGTCTCCAGAACTGATGTTCTACTCTTCTTGCGCACCCTCTTTGCGTTGACAGCAATGGTGGCAAGCTGTTGTGTTGAGGCAAGCATGCAAGTGAGAACAGACTTAAGGACATCACCACCAGGCAGTGCAAGGCCCCTCACTGTTCCTTCAGGCAAGCACGGGTGCGAGTGGTTGCAAGCTGAGAGTCACCACCACTATAGGTGGTGGGTGTAGCAAGCCTCACTCTTCCTTCTTGCCCACCCTCTTGGCCTCGGCATCAATGGTGGAAAGCCGTTCGGGCAAGCACGGGTGCGAGTGGTGGTATGCAGAGTACCACGGGTCCGTGTTCATTGCTGATAGGTTCTCCTCCTGTGGGACAGAGAGGCACAGACGGGGAAAGAAGTGGTAGGGAGGCAGGGGAGTTATGGAAGGGTGTGAGTGGCAGTATGGGCTGGTAGGCGGAGTACCACGGGTCCGTGTTCATTGCTGATAGGTTCTCCTCCTGTGGGACAGAGAGGCACAGACGGGGAAAGAAGTGGTAGGGAGGCAGGGGAGTTATGGAAGGGTGTGAGTGGCAGTATGGGCTGGTAGGCGGAGTACCACGGGTCCGTGTTCATTGCTGATAGGTTCTCCTCCTGTGGGACAGAGAGGCACAGACGGGGAAAGAAGTGGTAGGGAGGCAGGGGAGTTATGGAAGGGTGTGAGTGGCAGTATGGGCTGGTAGGCGGAGTACCACGGGTCCGTGTTCATTGCTGATAGGTTCTCCTCCTGTGGGACAGAGAGGCACAGACGGGGAAAGAAGTGGTAGGGAGGCATGGGAGTTATGGAAGGGTGTGAGTGGCAGTATGGGCTGGTAGGCGGAGTACCACGGGTCCGTGTTCATCGCTGATAGGCTCTCCTCCTGTGGTGGATAGACACACAGAGACGCAGGGTACATGGCAGGGAGATGGGGGAGTTATAAGAGAGTGTGAGTGGCAAGAGGGGCAGTGGTAGGCAGAATACCAGGGGTCCGTGTTTACTGCTGATAGGTTCTCCTCCTGTGGGGCACCGAGACACACAGTTGGGTACATGGCAGGGAGATGGGCGAGGAATCAGAGAGTGAGAGTGGCAGGAGGGGCAGTGGTAGGCAGAATACCAGGGGTCCGTGTCCATTGCTAATAGGTTCTCCTCCTGTTGTAACGAGACGCATGATAACAGGGAACAGAAGGAAATGATGTGGTGAGTGTAGTGCTAACCGGAGTACCAGGGGTGTGTGTTGTTGGGAAAATGTTCAAATTTCTGCTGGAAACAGACAAACTCTGGTAAGTCGCAATTGCACCTTTAGTCCCAAGTAACAGGGTATGGAGGGAAATGATAGGGTGAGTGTAGTGTAATGCTAACCGGATTACAGCACTCTACTTACGTTGCATCACACATGTGTATGTGGCAATGAGAATTTAGATGGCTTTTGACTCGACTCAAAAGTCATCTTGCCTTGCCTGCGGCAAGGAGGATAGACTCACCTGCATCTTGATGAGCCCCGATCGCAGCTTCGGTGCATACCCCATCTTCACTGCAAATGCATCCGCCTGTCAAATCGAGGATGGTGCACAGGACAATGGAAAGAGCATGTAGAAAAGAAGTGAATATGTCAAAAAAGAGCATGCACGAATGACAACAATTGAAAAAACAACAATGCGAGACTGATTCATAACCGACACTGCCGTCCAAAGAAATGATAAAGTGTGCTGTTTTCAATTAACTTTAGTCGTGGCAGATGGGTGATCGAACGAGTTGACAATGAACAACCTTGCATGTGTGGATGCGGAATGCAAAGCACCTGGTACTCGAATGTTCGGCTGATGATGTTGAGGCCAAAGTCAAGCAGGTGAGAGACAGGCGTGGACAGGTGCTGGCGGTGGCAGGTATTGGGAATAGGGGATGGGGAAGGGAGGGGAGAGTGATGATGAAATCGAGACTTGATGGCAAGGAAGAGTGAGAGTGAGAAGAGGACAGCAAAGAAGTGGCGATGGTGACGCTGTTGAGCCCAAAAGCAAGCAAATGAGGGACAGGGTGGACAGATGCTAGTCCTGGTGGGACATGGGGATTGGAGGGTGATTCATGCATGCAATGGACGAGGAAAGAAACTGACAGCGAGGGAGGCTTTCACAAGGTGCGTGAGAGTTTCAAGAAGATAACTAAGGATGAAGCCACGAGATCACGAGAAGGAAGCACAAGGACGCTGGGTAAACCATGTACGGACGCAGGTCCAAGGGGAAAAATGAATGGATGGACACATCTGGAAGAGCTGGAATCGTGATGGCACTCACCACTGGCTGCTCCTTCATGACACGAGAAGGAGACATAAGACTTTAACACACAGTTGCATTTTGGAGGTTCGAGCTATATTGGAGTGACATTTGAGAATTCTCAAAAGTCACTCCAATATAGGTGGAAGAGAAGCGCAGACCTGGAACAAGAGGATGGCAATGATGACTGGCTCCTCCTTAAAGCCAAAGGAGCGGAAGATGTCGGGCTGCGATCGCACAAAGATGAACCCGGAACACTGGATGAGCATCAAAGCCTGGAGGGAAGAACGGTGAAGGGAGTCAGGAGGAAGGGGGTGAGAGGGGTGGGGAGGAAGAGGAGAAGGGGGTGGGGAGGAAGAGGAGGAAGCATGCGAAGATGTCGAGCTGAGATCTCATGAAGATGAAAACGGAACACTGGATGAGCATCAATGCCTGGAGGGATGCATGGAAGAAGGGAAATGGTGCGGGCCAGCTCATGCACTACCAATGCTTGAAACCCCTAGCAACTAAAACACCACAGACCATTGCATTTGTGGATATAAACTTATATCGGAAGAAGGAACGCGTGCACGCTCCACACGTGTCGCATTGCATATCTGGAAGAGCAGGACGAAGTGGAAGGTGTGGCCTCGCTTCCAGTGCCCCAGCTCATGTGTGCGGGTGAGGTGGTATTCTCTGTGTGTGAGTGCATGAGACACACACATGTGCTCATATCCTTGGAGTGTGTGTGTGTGCATGTCAGGCAGCAGTACCACCTGAGTGAGCACGAAGAAGCGGATGGTGCGGCCCAGCTTCCAGTGGCCCAGCACATGTGCCCTTATGAGGAGGCATCCTCTATGTGTCCAGGAGTGACACACACACGTGCATGCTAGGAAGCTGTGTGTATTACCTGCGAGAGCAGGAAGAAGCGGATGGTGTGACCCAGCTTCCAGTGGCCCAGCTCGTGAGCGATCACTGCCACCACCTCCTCCTCGTCGTCCTTGCACTGCCATGCCATGCCATGCAATGCAGCATGCAACACAACATGTGGAGGAATGCAGTGAAGTTAGGGTGAGTGAAAGAAACGAAGTCAATGCATTGCAGTGAGATTCACCCAGGTCGTGTGCGACCATTCCCACCACCTCCTCGTCATCGTCAGTGCAAAGCAGTACGAGTTCAGTACACTTGAGTGGAAGGGAACAACACGGTGCAATGCAATGCAATTCATAAGTGCTTCGGCTCATGTGCGACCATTGCCACATCCTTCTCCTCCTCAGCTCATGCCTTGCACTGCCACACCATGCCATGCAACGCAGCACGGGATGGATTGGAGATAAAGAGAACTTGGCATGGAGGAGAGAAACGCAGTGCAATGGAATGAAGTGCTTCACCAGAGCATGGAATGGAGTCGGAATGCTGTACTTACATGCGACAGCAGAGTGTCTCACATGCGACAGCAGAGTGTCTCACATGCGACAGCAGAGTGTCTCACATGCGACAGCAGAGTGTCTCACATGCGACAGCAGAGTGTCTCACATGCGACAGCAGAGTGTCTCACATGCGACAGCCGAGTGTCGTAGACCGAGACAGCGTGAGGCAACATGTCATAGACAATCCCCATCGTTTTGCAACCAAGGCTGAGGCATGAGTAACCTCTTACTCACATGCGACAGCAGCGTGTCATAGAGCACGATGCGCTTGTTCTTGAAGAAGCCGTACAGATAGGCCTGGGGCATGGTGAGGGATGAGGGAGTAGAAGGAGAAGGGGCGATACAGAAGGGAGGAGTGTGTTGAGAGATATAGCAGATCGGCAGGAAGAAGGAGGGCATGGGAGAGAAGGGCAGGGCGAGAAGAATGTTCGTTGAGCAGAGCACAGATTCTGGCCATGCAGCAACAAGCTTAGTTCAAAGCGTTGCAGCAGCGCTGCTGCTTGCAGCGAGCCTATCATTATGTGTAGACAGTGTGCTAACTTACTGAAAGGAGGAGAAGTCTGGGGGAGAGATGGAGCAAGCGAGGGTGGGAACGTGAAATGGGATGACCTTAACAGCTCGTTCTCACATTGCTGTGTGCGGATCGCTGTGAGCCGTCCATCACGAAGATCTTTTTGAGTGGGTAACTGAGTGAACCTGCAAGGCCCTCTATCTTGCTCCTCAGTGTCCCGGCTTCAAGCTGAAAGAGAGACAGAAAAAGGGAGGGAGAGTTGTGAGGGGTAGAGGGGATGGACAAGCGGAAAGGATGGCTCAACGAGCCTGCAAGCGATTCTGCCTTCACTGCCCCGACCTCTTGACTGCCCCAACCCCTATCAGCCACCATCACATGACACTCCAAGGGCCACAGAGGGTCGACCTCTGGCTCTTGGAGATTTGGGGTCATACATAGCTACAGGTGTGTTGGAGTTCTGAGAAGGGGTATGGTGAGCGTGAAGAGCGAGAAGATGCACTTGCAGACTTATTCACTTGGTGAGGGCAGCTTACTCACAGTGGCGAACTTATTGAAGAGGGAAGTGATGGCGACCGGGTAGATGGTGAGAATGAAGAGGAAGAAAAAACTCATCCATCCAGTCCAGCGGCCAACCAGACTCGCTCAGTGTGTGTGTGTGTATAGTGCAGCTGACTCACAGGTGTGAACTTGTTGAAGAGAGAGAAGGCATGCAAGAAGACTCGGTAAGTGTGCATGTAGACTCGTTTCTTCTAGTCTGTGCCTCATACTCACAGGTGTGAACTTGTTGAAGAGTGGGGCGATGGCGACGGGGTAGATGGTGAGCATGAAGAGAGAGAAGGCGAGCATGAAGAGCCAGAGGTACACCGCCACTAGGTTGCCTCCCACCTGTGGCGAGAGGGAAACGCGGATGGAGCGGGAGACAGGATGAGGAAGAAGGCCAGCATGAAGAGAGAGAAGGTAAGCATGAAGAGCCAGAGGTACACCGCCACCAGGTTGCCCCCCACCTGTGGAGAGAGGGGAAGGCGGACAGAGAGAGTTAGGATGACGAAGAGGGCGAGCATGAAGAGGGGGCAAGGGAACATGAAGAGACAAAGAAAGACGGTCACTGGGGTGCCTACAACCCGTGGAGGACAGAGGCAATGGGGAGAGAAGGGCGACCTGAAAGAGAGGATTTCAAGAGCAAGTGAATGGGAAGAGGGCAGAGAAAGGGAGGCACCCCAGTCACCCCAGTGAAGGGGCATGCAAGTGGCACTTGGCGACTGGTCGTACCCGTCACCTGCGACATACCCTCATATTGCGTTTCCCCCACTCTCCTGCACGAAGGGAATGCAACACTGTCAGGTTCTCCACACACCTGGATCTTACCTCTCACTCGCCTCTACTCTTCACCTCACCTTACCTATCATCCTACCTTCCCTTCACCTGCCCCTTACACATCATCTCACCTTTCCCTCACCTCACCTGCACGATGCGAATGCACGCTGCCAGCACGGGTGGCAGAATGACCACCATGAGCAGAATGCCAAGGATGCGATCCTTGATGAATCCCAGTAGGGTTTGCTGCGAGAGGGAAGGGGAAGAGAGGGGCAGAGAGCGGAAGCAAGGTGATTGGGAAGTGTGATTTGAGTCGAGGTAACCACCACGGGATGACCCCCATGGGATGACCACCATGGGATGACCACCATGAGCAGAATGCCGAGGATGCGGTCCTTGATGAAGCCCGGTAGGGTTTGCTGCGAGGGGGGGAAAGGGGGAGAGGGGGTGGGGGTGTGTGTGGGGTGGAAGGGAATGGAAGGGAAGAGAGCAGGATCTGTGTGATTCAACTCCAAGTGACCATCCCGAGAAGGAAGCATGAGTAGAATGCCAAGGATGCGGTCCTTGATGAATCCCACTAGGGTTTTCTGCGAGGGGAGGAAGTGGGGTGAGAGAGGAAGTGGGGGGGGGGGAGGGGAGGGGGAGAGGGGATGGGGAGACGAAGCGGGGTGAGAAGTGTAATATGACTAGCAATGACAACCATGAGCAGACAGTAGGGTTAGCTGTGAGGGGAGGGGGGAAGAGAGACAACGCAAGGGGGTTGGAAAACGTATTTGACTCGAGATGACCACCATGAGCGAAATGCTAAGGATGCGATCCGCACACAAGGGGAGGCAGAATCGTGCGCCTCAAACGCTTCTGAAAGATAGGCATGTGCCCTAAAAGCGAATGCCATAACAATCTTGTGAGGTCATGTTTGAGATTCTAAGACGCTTCAAAGTCACCTTGGCTGACTGACCCATGGCTGACTGACTGACCCGTGGCTGACTGACTGACCCGTGGCTGACTGACTGACCCGTGGCTGACTGACTGACCCGGGGCTGACTGACTGACCCGTGGCTGACTGACTGACCCGTGGCTGACTGACTGACCCGTGGCTGACTGACTGACCCGTGGCTGACTGACTGACCCGTGGCTGACTGACTGACCCGTGGCTGACTGACTGACTCATGGTCCGTTCGTTTGCCCCCAACAGCTCGCGCACCCTTCATAGATTTTGAGATTACTAAACAAGACCCTGAAAAGAGCTTTAAAAACAGCAAGACCAGGGGCCGCCGTGAGTGGCTGACTGACTGACTGACTGACCCATGGCTGACTGACCTTGTTGAAGCCGTGCCTCTGCTCAATGACAAAGGTGGAGAAGAGGGCAAACGGCAGATCCACCACCTGGTGGTGTGTGTGGCGACACAGGGCAAGGTAGGGGGCACGATGAGAGCGAGCTTGGCAGAAGCGAAGACAAGGTAAGGAGTTGGACAATGGTGAGAATAGCAGGGGGGATAGGAGGGATGGGTCCATTCTGGTGCTGTGGGGTGAATGGAGAGCACAGTTGTGCTCTTGTTATAAGATGAAGGGGTCTGGGGCAATGGACGGGGGAGAGAGAGGCAGTATGGCAGATGACATGCATGCACGGTCAATATCTACCATGCATGCATTGCTTTGCTGTTCTGCAGGGCTGTGGGTGGGTGGGTCATGGGTATAGAACCACCCTAGTGAGGAAAAATCACCTGAGACCTAAGATTACATATGTGTAGGAGGCTTCTGACTGAGGACCTGGAAGTTGCAATGAGAGAATAAAGAGAACTTAACAAAAGGATAGGATACAACAATTGCACCTGGGAGATGAGCGAGGAGGCGAAGAGGAAGAGGATGGAGTGTTCGATCTCGTTGTGCCCGTTGATACCCCACAGCCACGGCAGCTGGTAGTCCAACGCACAGCGCTGCAGTCAGGTTATACAGAGGGAAGGAGGAAGAAGAAAGGAGCACTGTGTGCTACTGTATCTTGCTCCGCCCGTTGATGCCTCACAGGTACGGTAGCTGGTACTCAAACGCGCACAGCTGCAGCGGTCAGGCAGACAGAGGGGGAAAGGAGGAAAAGAGGAGGAAAAGAGGAGGGAAAGAGGAGGGAAAGAGGAGGGAAAGAGTGTCTTGCCGCAGCCGTTGATGCTTAGCAGTTACGGTAACTGGTGGTCGAGCGCGCACAGCTGTGGATAAAAAGAGGGGAAGGGGCGGATTGGAGGAACAATTTTATTGACAGACGTAAATTCCTGTCGAGGCCTGTAGCTGCAGGGATTTCTCCTACTGCCCCTTGATTCACGATGACCCACTCCTGCCTTCACAGCCTTCCACTGCCCTGCCCCAGCTCACCTCCCACAGCCACGGCAGCACGAAAAGCTTGAGAAATCAGCAGCTCAACACAGAAGTCCACTGCTCCCCCCACCCTCCCTCCCCTGAAGGCTGACCGAACCCTGAACCAACGAATGTGCAAGCAAACACCCAACAAGCACGCCTCACCCACTCACCTCCCACAGCCACGGCAGCACGAAGAGCTTGAGCATCAGCAGCTCGACACAGTATTCCACTGCTCCCCGCACGAACCCCAGGCGGGCGCGGTCGAGGCTGTAGGCGCGCGCCTCGAGGAACTTGTCGTGGCTCACCACGCCCTCCAGCGCGGGGGGGAGGTGGGAGAGCGGGCGCAGCAGCAGCATGCCTGAACTGAGTTCTTAAGGTGCCAACCAAGCGAGCAGGCAACCACTGAGAAAGCAAGCCTCAGCTTACCTCCCACAGCCACGGCAGCACGAAGAGCTTGAGCATCAGAAGCTCCACACAGAAGTCCACTGCACCCCGCACGAACCCCAGGCGGGCACGGTCAAGGCTGTATGCGCGCGCCTTGAGGAACTTGTTGTGGCTCACCACGCCCTCCAACGCGGGGGGGAGCGATGGGCGCAGTAGGGCGGCGAACTGGCGCAGGTCGAGGAGAGTCTCGAAGGCGAAGGAGGCCGCGATGAAGGCTGGAGGAGAGAGAGGATGGGGGAGAGAGGGGGGTGGGGGCAGCGCGGAGGGAGGGAGAGAAGCGAGTGGGAGGAGAGGAGGGGGGCGCAGGAGCAGCATGTGCAAGTGTGAGGTGGATGGCGGCTCAGAGGGGGGAGGGGAGTGACGGGCGGGTGTATGCGCGCGCCTTGAGGAACTTGTCGTGGCTCACCACGCCCTCCAGGGCGGGGGGAAGTGATGGGCGCAGTAGTGCTGCGAACTGGCGCAGGTCGAGGAGAGTCTCAAAGGCGAAGGAGGCTGCGATGAAGGCTGGACGGGGGGAAGGGAAGAGAGAGGGAGAGGGGCGAGCGGGGGAAATGGGGAAGTGTGAGGCATGGTCGACGAGAGTCTTGAAGGCGGAAGCTGCTGCGATGCGGGTTGGATGGAGGGGGAAGAGAAGGGGGAAAGGGGTGGGGGGAGGATGGGGATAGGGCGGGCGAAAGGGCGTGGGCTATTGTGGATTGCGGAGAGGGCGGATCAACGAAGGGAGCACCGTGGCAATGACTCGAGCTGGCAGAAATCCAAAAGAGTCCCGAAGGTGGGGTGGGGGGATGAAGGGGCGGGGAAAATGAGAGGGGTTGGGGGGAGGAGAGGGGGCGGGGGAATGAGAGGGGGCGGAGGGAAGGAGAGTGGGCAGGGGAAGGAGAGGGGTCGGGGAGAAGAAGAGGGGGCGGGGAGATGGTGAGGGAACGGGGGGCAGGACTGGGGAATGCGTGAGTTTCGACAGCGAAGTATCGACAGTGAGCACACGGAGAAAGGAGAAGAGGCGAAAGAGAAGGAGAATGGACGGTCAAGAAGGTTCGAGAAGAGTACGGAAGGAAGAGGAGAGCGGAAGGCAAGCAACGGAAGGAGGAGGGCGAGCGACGGAAAAAGAGGGCGAGCGACGGAAAGAGGAGGGCGAGTGACGGAAAAAGAGGGCGAGCGACGGAGAGAGGGGAGCGAGAAACAGAGGAGACGGACCGATGACGAGATCGAGGTAAGGAAACACCTTGTCCGCCATGGTGACCGTCAAACACGGAACCAATGGGAATATTTCTTTTCACGAGGAATACTGAAGTACGATTTCAGACCCAGTGAAAGCGGTACAAATTTTCTCCAGTAATGCCGAGCTCAGTAGCAGTGTATCTGCTTCACAATTAATGCGAATCTAAAGTGAAGCGATCTGACGATTCCTTGCAACAAGCACGTGGTGAAATACCGACGACCGCGGCGCCGGCCTAGCACGTAAAGAATAGAAGCCGTGGCACGCTGCGAGTAAAAATCTCGAGGTGGTAGTAGAATCTCGGATCAACCTCTCTACAAAAAGGCTTCTTTTGAAAACCGGTTTCGTGGCGATGTGATGTGCCCGTCGAGACAATAGAGATCCAACATTCTGGTTATGTAATAGAGATTCAAGGAAGAAACAAATAACGATTCTTGTTGTATGACTTGTACGATGTATACAGATTTTTCGTCAATTTATCACCAGATTCAGATTGATAATATATCAGATCTGGAATGATGGTCTCAAACCCCAATTAGATAACAATCAGCAGATTAAAGAGTTTATAGAGCATGCTACTTGTATCTTTGTTTTGCTTGACTCTTTTGGAGGAATACAAACGAGCCCTTTCGTACGCTGACAAACCCAGTGACGTAACCACCTGTGTGGCACTGCGCCATGCCAGCGTGGTCGAGATCTCGCGAAGCATCAAGTCGACGATGCTGCCACTCACGAGACAATGACTTGCTCCAGTCGTTGTCTGCCTGACACATGGCGTACCGTTATTGCATAATACGAAAATTGTGGGAGCGCACACAGAGTTGCCGTGTGGGTGGTTCATACTGAGCCACCTGTTACGAAGGATTCAACTCGTACATCTACAGGTCAGTCTTCGCGTTTCAGATCGTTTCCAGACGGTGGAACGCGGTATTCTTCCATCACCGATTTGCACCGTGACAAAACAGCCACAAAGTATATGACTCAGGAGGCAGCGCAAAACACCCCCCCCCGTGTGAATTTCGATTTTCCCAAATAGCCATTGCACTAAAATCGTTGGGACTAATGCCTCGGTAATGGCGGCGGACACGACAAGAACGCAGATTCCAACAGCTGCTTCGCTGACAGTCGTCTAGCGCTTCCGAGTCGATTACGGAAGGACCTTCGCGACACGAGAATGAGTATCCCACTGAAGTTCGCCCTAATCAGTGCTATTGACCAGGTGAACTCTGACTAATTGTAGTTCTGAACTTGTTGAACAAGTTATCTTCGACTGGTGATTCATGTATAGTACGAGCTGTTAGAGCGCACGACCAGTCGCAAACGAGTATTCCAAATAAACAAAGAGATATTCTCTTTGCGCCACGTGCGTCGCAGATCTAGACGGCCGTGCATTCTTGCCGTACAGTAGTAATCATTGCCTTTCCGGTTCCCGCCTTTTGCAATCACGGCGCGTGCTCGCGATGCATCCCTCCCTGTCGTCGCGGGTCAATCCGCATCGCTCGCTCGCTCCCTCAGCATTCAAGGCGCCACAAATATCACCCCTCGTCCGCTCGCCAGCACTCATTCCCCGCTCGCGGACAGTAGCCAATGCCCATCCCTCCCCACACCGTCCCTCCCCTAGTCCACCCCACGTGCTGCGCGTGCACCCTCGTTCCCGCCACCGCCGTGACTCCCAGTCTTGCCGTCGACGCTCCGCGTCTCCTTCCCCCGCAGCGTCATGCCTCGCCGTTACTAGCCCGTCAGCATCGGCAGTACTCAGCTCTAATAACGCGAAGAGCGGGCCGAGTGAAAAGCAACGGGACAGACAAATCCGATTTGCAGCTGCCTTTGGTTCTTCATGCGGCGCGCCACGCTCACGTGATAGCTCATTCGATGCGCGCTCAAGCACGGGAATTTTGCGGGAGGTTGCGGCATGTGGTATGCCTGCGGGAGATTTTTGTGCCACGTCGTGGCGGGTACACCCCACCGCCGCGATTGCAGCTAGTAAGATTGCATCCACGGCGGGCGGGAGATCGACGGCTGCGAGTGGAAGGAGATCGACGGCTGGAGCTGCGTCTCGCCTGTCAGCTGTATCTGCTGATGGCTCGGCTATTGTAGCGGAATCAGAGCCAGAGGGGGAGGGGGGGTCGGCGGGTAAGGGGAAAGAGGATAAGCGTGCTAAATCTGAGACAGGGGGAAGTGAGTTGGTGAGTGGAGACGAGGATGTGGGAGCGCCGTTGATAGCAGCAGACGCAGCACGCATTCCAGGAGTAGAGTCGACGCCAGGAATCCCGGCATTAGCGGCAGCAGGATTGGCAGCAGGTGGGGAGGGGGGCGGGTTGGCGTTGGGGGAGTGGGGTTATGCGGTGGCAGGGAGGGCAGCGCGGGCGGTGGGGGGGGCAGGGCGAGTGGTGGCGGCAGCGCTGCCGCCGGAGTCAGCAGTTCTGCTCACGGCGTGCGTGGTGGGGCTCCTCACTGGCGCCTCTGTGTCGCTCTTCAACGAAGCAGTGAGTGTCATAGCCGTCCTTGTGATTATAACTTTTGTGTTGTGAGTGCAACAATGCCTGCGAGCTGACGCCATGTGCCTTGGGGATCCCCACGGCCCTGTCGTTTCTCAAAGAATCTGTGAGTGTTGCTGCGCGCCCGCCTCCCATCTTCTCCCTCCGTTTGCCCTGCTCCTGTTTGTCCGCCTCGCACCCGTGCTGCCACTGGACACACTGTATTGCAAAAACCACGTGTCACCTCTCAAATTGCCTCACTCATTGCCCCGGCCCCTACGCCTCAACCCACTTATTCATCAGCCGTCATACTGATCGCTCCGCTTCTCACGCCAACTTATTGCACTTGCTTATCACCCCACCTACTTACGCCACCCCACTTACTCATCACCCCACTTGGTTATCACGCCCCGCCCGTTGCTTCTCCCCCTCCCCCCCCACCCCCTCTTAACATCAGGTGCACGCCATCCGAGACACCGTGTGGCAGGGCGTGCCGCCCGAGGGGGGCTCCACGTGGCTGCGCAGCCAGTCAGTGGCCGCCACGTGGCACCTGCACATCTTTGTTCCCCTGGCGGGCGGCGTGGTGGTGGGCATCCTCAACACCGTCCGATCGGAGATCAAGGACCTACCGCTCATTAGACAGCCTCCACGTGGCAGCAGCAGTGGCAGCAGCAGTGACAGCAGCAGCGACGACGGCAGCAGCAGCACCAGCAGCACCTCCTTCGCCTCCCGTGCAGCCCAGTCAGCCGCTCAGAATCTCGTGGCTGTGCTGCGCCCGGTGCTCAAGGCAGTGGCAGCGGCGGTGACGCTGGGCACGGGCAACAGCTTGGGGCCGGAGGGGCCGAGTGTGGAGATCGGGGCGAGCATGGGCAAGGGCGCAGGAAAGGTGGTGCAGGGGGGACGAGAGCGGACCATTGCTCTTGTTGCTGCTGGCTCCGCTGCTGGTATCTCTGCTGGTGAGTCGTGTGATGGTCATTTTGAATCGTGTCCTGGTGACTCTGCTGTGTGTGCTGGCGAGGCTGATGCATGTGGTGGTAACGGTTTGAGTGATGAGAGGTGACGCTGGGCACGGGCAACAGCTTGGGGGCAGAGGGGCCCAGTGTGGAGATCAGGGCGAGTGTGGGGAATGGCACAGGCAAGGTGGTGCAGGGTGGAAGAGAGAGGACCATTGCTCTTGTCGCTGCTGGCTCTGCTGCTGGTATCTATGCTGGCGAGTCTTGTGAGTGTCAGCTTGACTCTTGTGCGAGTGAGTCTGCTGTGTGTGCTGCTGAGTCTGCTGTGTGTGCTGGTGAGTCTGCGGTGTGTGCTGCTGAGTCTGCTGTGTGTGCTGGTGAGTCTGCTGTGTGTGCTGCTGAGTCTGCTGTGTGTGCTGGTGAGTCTGCTGTGTGTGCTGCTGAGTCTGCTGTGTGTGCTGGTGAGTCTGCTGTGTGTGCTGGTGAGTCTGCTGTGTGTGCTGGTGAGTCTGCGGTGTGTGCTGCTGAGTCTGCTGTGTGTGCTGGTGAGTCTGCTGTGTGTGCTGGTGAGTCTGCGGTGTGTGCTGCTGAGTCTGCTGTGTGTGCTGGTGAGTCTGCTGTGCGTGCTGGTGAGTCTGCTGTGTGTGCTGGTGAGTCTGCTGTGTGTGCTGGTGAGTCTGCTGTGTCTGCTGTGAGTGCTGTGTGTCCGCAGTCTGCTCTCTTGGCCCCCCTCCACCACCATGGTGCTTCTCTCCTCCTTTACCCCAATCAGCCCAAACCGACCCCTCATCCCTCTTTCACCAGGTTTCAACGTAGCAGTGGCATGGCAGGGTGTTTCTTTGCACTCGAGTCGGTCCTCTGATCCTCCGTGTCCTCCCTCATCACGGCGATGGTGCTGCTCTCCTCTCTGGTCACAACTGCCCTGCTGCTGTTGCTGTCTCCCTGTCCCCCAACCCTCAGCCGCTAGTGCATGCATAAACAATAACTCTTCCGCCTCCGCCCTGCCCCCATGTCCCTGCCGCCCTCAAAACTCCACAACAGGTTTCAATGCAGCAGTGGCAGGGTGTTTCTTTGCGCTCGAGTCGGTGCTGCGCTCCTCCGTGTCCTCCTCACCCGCCTACCTCACAACGGCCATGGTGCTGCTCTCCTCTGTGCTCGCCACTGCCCTGCTGTTACTCCCGGCAGTCACCACCCGCTTCCACGGCTGCAAGTGCACACACCACCTAATTCGTCCACCATCACCCTTTCCCCCTTTGTCTCCCCTCTCCCTGTACTCCACAACAGGTTTCAACGCAGCGGTAGCGGGTTGTTTCTTTGCGCTCGAGTCGGTGTTGCGCTCGTCCGTGTCCTCCGCGCCCGCCTCCCTCACCACGGCCATGGTGCTGCTCTCCTCTGTGCTCGCCGCTGTCGTCTCACAGCAGATCCTCGGCTCCGACCCGGCTGTGCAGATTCCCCTTTATGAGTTCCGCTCGCCAGCAGGTGAGTGGTGGGGTCACAGAACGAGACTGAGTTTCAAACAGCAGTGGGGTCTTTTCTCACAGCAGATCCTCGGCTCCGACCCCGCCGTGCAGATTCCGCTCTACGAGTTCCATTCGCCAGCAGGTGGGTGTTGGGGTTACCAGCAGGCGAGTGTGGGGGCAGCAAGAGAGTGAGATTCATATGTCATTGGGCTGTCGTCTCACAGCAGATTCTCGGCTCCAACCCCGCCGTGCAGATTCCGCTCTACGAGTTCAGATTTCCAGAAGGTATGTTGGAATCGGTAGCAGTTAGAGGGTGTTGAGGCAGGTAGTAGGTGAGTGCTAAGGTTAGAAAGAAAGAATGATATTGATGCGCCCATCAGAATTACGGCAGATTCTCGGCTCGGACCTCGGAAGGTTTCAAAAGTCGCCTCAAAAGGCGGCTCAGACCTCGCGTTGACGGATTGTGAGAGTCACAATAGGCTTCAATTTGACTTCAAACATAAGTAAGAGTGCATATACGCACTTCCGCAGAGCAACTCCAAGTTCAAGCATTGTGCCACAAAGTGGATTTGTGCGCCTTGATGTGGTCTACGATCAATAATTGGTTCACCTAGTTTGATAAAGAAATGCTGATGGAAAAGTAGTGCGGGCGGACAACCGTATGGTAGCAACTGTCGTCTTAAGATACAAAGTACGAAGAATTTTGAGTTGTGAACGACTCTCAGCCTACTGAGGCCCAAGGAGGAGGAACGGTGCTACACAGTCCGAAAGACAAAGTGTCTTGAAACTAATTACACCAAGAGAAAGCACGAGCACAAAACGAGAATGTTTTTATTTTGATGTATACCAAAATGAGGTGCTCTGAACAAACTTGATTCTTTAGTTTTGGCCCCTAGTCTTCAATATTCCTCACACGCCCTGGACCGCCTGCTGCTGCTCTCTCCGCTGCCCCTCGTGCTGCTGGACCCCCCCTTCATTATCCTGACCAACCGCTCATCAGAGCTACCATTGCAACCTCTCCTCTCCCTTTGCTGCGGATATCTTTACATCGCTGTTCATTACCTATCTACCTCCCTCCTACCACCCCCATTTTCCACCACTTCCACCCCCTCCAACAGAGCTGCCCCTATACCTCCTGCTCGGCTTGTGTTGCGGGGGGGTATCTATCGTGCTCACCCGTTCAGCCCGCTTTGCCACACACGCCTTTGACCGCCTGCTGCTGCTCTCCCCGCTGCCTCCTGCCGCTCCCATTTCCCACCATCCCCCCCAACCACCAGAGCTGCCTCTCTACCTGCTGCTCGGCCTGTGCTGTGGGGGGGTGTCCATCGCGCTCACCCGTTCAGCCCGCCTTGCCACAGACGCCTTTGACCGCCTGCTGCTGCTCTCCCTGCTGCCTCCTGCACTGCTGCCGGCCCTGGGGGGCTTGTCAGTGGGAGTGATCTCCCTGGCCTACCCCGAGGTGCTCTACTGGGGCTTCCAGAACATCAACGACCTCCTCGGCTCTAGACCGCTTGCCAGTGCACCTCAGGTACAACACCTTCCTCACATCACTAACCTCCTCGCTCCTCTCTTCTCTTTCTCTCATCCGTGATTGAAAGTCCACTTAGGGGTCACGGATGCCCATGAAACCACCTAAACCCAAACTGACAAGTTGAAATTGCATCTATCCATAACGCCGTCACGATGAGTTCCGACTTAGTAGAGCGCAGAAAAATGGACAGCAGTTAGCTTTAGGTGTTTGGTTTCTAATGGTTTCTTATGGACAGCATTATGCCTCAATGAAAGGTGTGAGCTATACGTGGTGAGTGAAAACGTTAGCTTGTCTGAAACTATGTAGTTTCATTGACGTTAGGGAAGAGGTGAGTGTAGCATTACATAAGGCACTCTTAAAATGTTGCGTTAATCTTGGGAACTCAAAATTGCCATGTTACATAAACTATATGATATGGCATACACACTTTACGCCATTCTGGAAAGGCATAACTGTTCTTACTCCTTCTGTCGTCATACGATATATGCTGTTGTAATAAATTTGAAACTTTGAGGGCATGGTTAAAACATACTATTGCACCTCCCCACAAAAAACCTGAGGCTGAGCAATTTTACAGTTGGTTAGGAGTGCGATGACCGTGCCACTATAATGTGTTGGGACATCAACCTCTCTATTTGTCTCATTTGTTTTCGTCTAGCTCATCTCTTTAACCTACCATATCTTCCGAAACACTATTCACATGGGCTGCATTCACGATGCTGCAAGGAACTAGCGCAGACACATCTCAAACGTTGTGGCCCAGCAGGCCGCCGCTTCAGCACGCCATCACTCGTCATGAGAACATGTTGTCAGTGCCCCCGACGCCCATTGTCTTCCCCCTTCTCCCCTCTCCCCACTTCCCCACATCCATCTTTCCACGCCTACAGGTGGACTTTCTCCTCCAGCTGGTCGCCCTCAAGGTGCTTGCCATGGCCATCTGCTGCGGATCAGGCTTGCCTCACTGCCTCCTCACTGCCTCCTCACTGCCTCCTCACTGCCTCCTCACTGCCTCCTCACTGCCTCCGCACTGCCTCCTCACTGCCTCCTCACTGCCTCCTCACTGCCTCCTCACTGCCTCCTCACTGCCTCCTCACTGCCTCCTCACTGCCTCCTCACTGCCTCCTCACTGCCTTCTCACTGCCTCCTCACTGCCTCCTCACTGCCTCCGCACTGCCTCCTCACTGCCTCCTCACTGCCTCCTCACCGCCTCCGCACTGCCTCCTCACTGCCTTGTGTTTTTCACCTCCACTCTTTCTCTCCCACCCCCTCAGGTGGACTTCCTCCTGCAGCTAGTCGCCCTCAAGGTGCTTGCCACGGCCATCTGCCGCGGGTCGGGCCTGGTGGGCGGCTTCTATGCGCCGTCACTGTTCATCGGGGCGGCACTGGGGCAGGCGTATGGGCGGCTGGCGAGTGACGTGCTGGTGGCTGTAGACCCCGAGTACAACCTGCAGTGGATCCAAGTCGCCGCTCCTCAAGCCTATGCCATGGTGGGTTGTGGGTTGTTGCAGATTCGTCTGCTGCTGCATATACGATTCTTGTTCTGTTGCTTGAGCATAGCTGCATAGCAACCATGGTCCGTTCCTTTGGAGCATGTGTATGGGCGACTGGTGGTTATGCACCCGGAGTATGGCGCCTCTTGTTTGAAGGCACCTCAAAACTCTCCTGCAGGGAATCCAAATGGTAAGTTGGTGGGTGCTCCGCAAGCCTATGCAGTGATGGGATGGTCTCTTGGTGCTGCATGTCTCAGCATGGCGTGGAGCAGCATGGCATGGCAACAACATCAGCAGGAGTGTGCATGGTCCCACTCTCATGAATCATGCTCCTCTTTGAGCTCACCCGTGACTACCGCATCATCCTGCCCCTCATGGCCGCCCTCTCCTTCTCTCCCTCTCTCTTCTCTCTGTTATAGTAAAGACTCAAATGTATCTGAAACGAAAGATACAGTCCACAGACGGATTTTAACAGAGCGACTTCGAACATGGATAGCGTTTTGGACATAGCACTAAATGAGGTGCTATGAATTGCATCAGGAGCGTCTTAACGTCGACGCCTAGAATTTGCTAGTTGTATCTCTTGATTTGATAACGAACTGGCGACATAAGAGTAGTTTGAGTGAACGGCAGTTTAGCAGCAACTACAGTTTTAGAGCACAATAGAGAGTTGGAAATGTCTCACAGCCTCTACAAACCCCAAGAGACGAAGTCCAGGAAAGTGAACAGTGACACATAGTCCCCAACCTCGATAGACGTGGAAACCACCCACCACAAAAGTCTACACCAAGAACTATGTTACACTACACAATGCAATATAATTATTTCCATTATCTTAATGTTATCATTTTTTACGAGCTCAAAAACCACTTGAAACCTACAACCAAGGCTCTGAGTCTTCAAGGCTTGCTGCACACACCTGCGACACGCCGAATGTTCGACACAAGATAATTACAGAAATCTCACACGGCACACAAACGACGACGTGACACGCGACAAATGAAAATTAGCTATTGACTCGCCGTACACATTCGACTACATCACTCATCATTCACACACTATTATGACCATGAGATAGGTATTATGTTATGCTCTCATATCATTCTTTGCAAATACACATGCACGCGCAAGGACAACAAGCCGAGTGCAAACCATGGGGTTGCACCAACACTTTTCTCTCTCCTTGTCTACCTGCCTCCTCTCTCCTCCCCCTCGCTCTCTCTTCTCAGGTGGGCATGGCAGCAACGCTAGCCGGAGTGTGCCAGGTGCCACTCACATCGGTCCTTCTCCTCTTTGAACTCACTCGCGACTACCGTATTATTCTGCCCCTCATGGCCGCTGTTGGCATCGCCGCTTGGATCGCTGCTCCTGCCACCACACCACCATCATCCCCATCACCAACAGCACCAGCTGCAGCAGCCGCAGCAGTCACGGTATCAGCAGCAGCAGCCCCCACTCTTGCACTGACAGCAGAGCAGCAATCAACATCCTCCTCCCAACCACCATCCTCTTTAGAAGCCAGACCCACCTCTTCCTCCTCTCTCCTCTCGTCTGCTCCTCTCCCCCTCGCCATCACCTCCCCGGGGGACTACACGGACTTCGCAGACGACTCGGCATCGCTGGACGTGCGTGACGGAGTGCTGCTGGAGGAGCAGGTGCAGCGCGATCTGGCCGTCTCCACCGCCATGCGCCCCGCCTCCAGCCCCTCCGTTGCCGCTGTGCCGCTGCTGCTGGTGCGGCCGCGCGAGTACAGCTCACAGGGAAGGCGTGATGGGGAGACGGGTTATAGGGCACAGGGAAGGGTTGGTGGGGAGGCGGAAAATAGGGTGAGGGCGGTGGGGGTAGCAAATCCTGAGTCAGGTCAAGATGCAAGTGGTGTGGGGGAGGTGGAGTACAGGCCGAGCACGGTGGGGGAAGCTGTGGCAGCGATGGTGGCGAGCCGGCAGTGGTGCTGTGTGGTGGTGGGGGATGGGGGCCGGTTGGAGGGGCTGCTTACACTGGTGGACGTGCAGCAGGAGGTGGAGAGGAGGGTTGCTGCAGAGAGAAGAGGAGCAGGGCGGGGAGGGAGGGGTGGGAGGAGAGGGCAAGGAGGGAGAAGGTTGAGAGGGGAAGCAGGGGGGGGAGGGAGGAAGGGGGCAGGAGACGAAAGCAGTGGAGAGAGCGATGGGAGTGGTGGGGAAGGTGACACAAGTGGCACCGGTGCAGCTGATGGTGGTATTGCAGCTAGCGTGACTACTGCCAACGTGACAGTAAAGGGGGCGGTGGAAGGTCTACCAGTGTCTGTGCTATGCACGCCGTGGCAGCAGCTAGAGACCATCTCCCCAGCCGCCTCCCTCTACGAGGCTAGAAGGAGACTCACTGCCCGCGGCATCCGGCAGCTTCCCGTGGTGCTTCAGGTGGCGAGGGGGAGAGGGGAGGGGAGAGGAGAGGGGAGAGGGGGAGAGAGGGGGCAGGAGGGGAATGAGGAGGGAGAGGATGGGCGTGGAGTGGAGAGAGGGGGGAGGAGAGAGGGGATGGATGAGGTTGGAAGGGAGACGATGCGATTGGAGGATGGGGAGGGGAGGGAGGAGAGGGGGAGTGATTTGCTGCTGGTGGGGCTGCTGGATCGGGACGACATTGCACGGGCGTGCAGGTGGGTGCATGGTCTTGTTACGCCTTGCAGGTGGGTGCATGGTCTTGTTACGCCTTGCAGGTGGGTGCATGGTCTTGTTACGCCTTGCAGGTGGGTGCATGTGTATTGCCATGGCTTGCAGTTGGGTGCAGGTGGGTGGAGGTGGGTCGATTGGCCTTACCATGTTTTAGAGTTTAGCCAATTTAGATTTTGTTGGCCGTGCAAGAGCATGCATGCCGGCACGACAGCTCATGCGTTGTTCCATGCACATTGCCCTTGTTCCATGCACATTGCCCTTTTTCCATGCACAGTGCCTTTGTTCCATGCACATTGCCCTTGTCCCATGCACATTGCCCTTGTTCCATGCACATTGCCCTTGTTCCATGCACATTGCCCTTGTTCCATGCACATTGCCCTTGTTCCATGCACATTGCCCTTGTTCCATGCACATTGCCCTTGTACGGCGCCTGGTGTTTGAGGCACCTTCAATAAAGCAATCTGCGGTTGATGTCCCGCACACGCACATTACTTACCCCTTTCGTCCCCATTGGCTCTATCTCTCTCCTTTTCTCCCCCCTCTCCCTCTCCTGCTCCATCTCTCCCTCCCCTTGCGCCCTCTCTGCCCCCCTCTTCTATGCAGGGCTGAGGCAACCAAACGGCTGCTACAGCTGTAGTATCCAGCCGTTTCAGCTTTTTGGCTCACCTGCTACAGCTGTTGTACCAACTTTTACAATTCTACGGCTCAGCTGCTACAAATGTGTCACCCATCTTTACCCTTCGAGCCTGCCAGGTCAACCATGGATTTGCTACTCATTGCTACATTACATTTATTGTTGCTGCACCTACAACATTTTAAACATATACGAACTCTTTTGTACATACGTATATGTTATTCGTCTTATGGAGTTCGGTTCTTGCTGTTACAATCCATCAAAGGACTCAAGCTTGAAAATTTTGTTGAGACCGAGAATAAAAACAGCTTACCGGTAAATAAGTTTAGTTGAAAATCTTACATTTCACTGGCATAAGAAAAATATAGATGTTTCAATAAATCTAATGTAGTGAATCCACGTGTCTCAATACATTGGTTTTCCAAGATTTTAACCCTAAATCTCACACATTGCTTTGAGCTTGAAACAGAAGTTGTCTTATAACGAAATAGAGATACTGTTATGAATCAACTTGCAGAGTGCGCAGTAAAACGAATAACGTGAATGGAAATTACTGAATTACTGAATGAAGAAACAATGAAGTAGGGAGGCCTAAAAAGGGGACAAGCTAGCTAGGCGGGGGGTTTGGTTTGGGATGGCTCGGTGATGGTTGCGATTGGAGCGGAGGCCGACTCGGGGGTGGTTCGGTGCGACGAAATAGGCAAGATAGGTTCGTCGCGTGACCCTCGGGATGGCCTTGCTAACGAGTGCCTCAGTAATGATTGGTAAATCCTTACACTCTCCCACCTTCTAAATAAGGCAGCCCTGTACTGAAACAGGCCCCACACTAGCAAGGATTCAGTAGATCTCCTCTTCAGCTGAATCCGACGGCCGAAATGTCTTTGAGAATATTTTGGAAAAGGTTGGAATGTATTCCGTTGATGAAGTCCGATTTCGATCTGACGGTCGACGATGATCTATCCCAAAATGAAGTGAAGGTTGGAATGTGGGCCGTAGATCGAGCAGGTGCAGATCTGACGGTCGAAGACTGACGCGAGATTGGAGGGAACCTGCTGACGCGAAACTCAATCGCGATGTAGCAGAAACCGTTGATCATGTCGGTGTGATCGCGATCGTCCGTCGTGCTGACACAAACTGACAAAGTTAGAAAGGACCGAGAAAAACGCCAAGGAAAGAAGAAGTCCCAATGAGAAATGCGTAGAGCGTAGAGGGCCTGGTGAAATTGCGTCGGTGTGGAAAATCGATGACGAAACCAGGTGTGACGTGCCCTAAAAGTCTTCAAGGGCGAACCCGTGTAAGTAGACCAGAAACCGTGATGAAAAATCGCCGTTGCTCGAACTGTCGAAATTTGTCGTGATTCCACCGAGAACTTCGGTGGTACTTTCCGCAGCTGCAGCTGGCAGCACCTGACGTGGTTGAGAATTAAAGCAGTTGTCGTGGGCGGGTCGAAGGCGAGTTGTCAGAAGCAGAGTTGGGATGGATTCTCCGAGAGTTTTGTCGTAATCCGCCGAGAGCTCGTGGGCAGGGATGAAAAATTGCAGCTGTCTCTCCCCCCCGTCACTGTTGCTGCTGCCGTCTTCAGTTCGTCGTAAGTCGTTCGTACCCCTGAGAAAATCCATGTAGTCCTCGCGGTGTTGCCCGATGTAAATGTCGCTCGCGTTTAACCAAATGCCGCAACTCCTCCGAAATTGTCGGCGCTCCTCGCCGTAAAACCGGTAAGTCCACTGGAAACTCCGAAATTGTCGCTCGAAAAGTAGCCCCGTAAATCCGCAGTTGCAGGTGCAGCCCTCCTCCGAAATCTTCGGTCGTATTATAGCCGCCCACTCGGTCACCAGCAGTTTCCGTCGGTTACCCGACCCCAGCATGTGGGTTCAATCGAGAACCGGGACTGCCCTGGGTTATTCCGAGACCGAATCTCACGGAACCTAGTGTCATCAACGCCGTTGACCCCGTCGTCTAAGCTGCTCCCGCCGATGAATTTTAACTGAAAACCACGCAACTCCCACTGGCGCTTTGCAGATGTTTTACCCATCACTCGTCGCCGGCAGGTAAAATCCCGAAACTTCGGCTGCTCCCACGCTTCTTTTTACTGAAGAATTTCCCGTGGTGTACGTTTAAACACCAGTGGGTTCTAGGTATCCCCGCCGCTGAGTTTCTTGCCAGGCGACTTAAAAGTGACCCTTCAGGCGAAGTGTCCAACGGCTCAACCGCACTCCAAGAAGCGAAGAAACACCCTCAGCTTCAACTCTTTTTTTTTTGTAGGAAAAGTCACCCGAAAATCATGGTTGAGGCAGCAGTCCCGAAGTATTCTCCGCCGTGTAGCCCCGACGTTTCCGCCGTTAACCCTGGTACTCCGATGTTCACCCATCTTCCACCCGTCGAAACCACTTAGCGAATCCCAGGTATCATTGGCAATGTACCGCTCGCCGCGCCTCCATGTAACAATATCAAACCCTTTCGGGGGTCTACCGAATAGACTCCGAAATTCGAGGTGGATTGGTGCACGGGCTCAACCTCTCACTCAAGTGATCTGCTGGATCACCCACAACTTTCCCTCCGTCGTCATTTTTTTCGTATTCACCCCCCGACAATTCCGCTTCCCGCCGTTCACCCAGCGTCCGCTTTTGTCGGATGAGGTATCGTCGTTGTTGCCCGCGCGAACTCGGCCCCGGTGGAGAGGCAAAAACTTTCGGAGTCGGGGAGCCTTAGTTAAAAGGAAACTATCGCCCCACCGTTTTGCAGCCCGCCGTGCCTATCACGCCACTAAAATTTCACAGCTTCCCGGTCTCAGCTTCGCCGCTGCGTTGTCACCTCGTGTGTAGACGCCCGGGTCAGGAGAAACCTGTAAACTGCACCGATGTTATCCTCGCAGCTCCCCGACTTTTTCGCGTGCCGTTCACCCAGCCCGCTTTTGTCGGAGTAGAACAGTGCCGCGAACACTTTTATTTGTATTTTCTGTACAGCTGTCGAACGAGCACCAATCCAGGTGCCTTTAACCAGCACAGGGTAGGCACGTGCTCACCCCCGTTATTCGGCCAAGTAGGTTGACTGCATGAGTCAGAACCAGGACTTGGTGGGGATGGTGAGGTTCGGGCGAAGTAGGGCCGCAGATCGATTCCACCGGCTTTTAATATGCTCCCCACGACGTTCTTCAACCCTCGCTTAGCCGTCGGACCGTTTCTGCCCGTGTGTCCCGGCAGCCTGTACTGACCCCTCCGAAATTGTCGGGCGCTTTCTTGGACGCCGTTTAATCGTGGATTGTCAGCAGCTGTCCCCGAAAACGAATTCCCTGGTCAGGAGAAACCGCTCTCCATACTGCCGGCCAGCTTGCAACAACACCAGGCACGCAGTGTCGCACGAGTTGTTTCCGAGGTGTACCTGCCTCGATTTCCCTCGCCGCCTGCGTCCCACTTCTGCTAAGTGCGATATGGCCACTCCGCTTTTCGTTGCAGCCCGTAAGTGTCGCGAGTCTGAAGTCCCGTCTGTCCACGAGCACTTCTGTCGAAATATTCGATGACGCGCCCGCCATGCAGTAAAAATTGCTGCACTTAAGGTCGGGCGGGACGGCAGTTGACCCCGCATAATTCGGGCAGTTCGCGTGTCGTCTCTCCTCGTCCACCGATATTTTCGGACACAAAACTCCATTTGCGCCTGGCGAGTTCCCCAGCCGACTTTTTCTCCACAGTAGCTCCGAAATTATCGCCACAGTGAAGCACATCCCTTGTCGCCAGCTGCCGAGCCACACTCCGTGAGTCACGCGCGCAAAATGACGACGAGCCACCGTTGTCACTTGCCGCATGGGACGACTCCGAAGTTGTCGCGCAACTGTTGACCCAGGTCCGACGGCGTCAACTGCCACACACGCTGACGACTTCCGCAAATTTCGTGCAGGTGCCGACGCAGGTCCGCTGACGCCAGCTGCCTCACAAAATTCCGAAATCGTCGTTAAAACCGCAGCGGAATAGAAACTCACGTTTAATGTCGCGACAGCTACAGCTGTCCGTTGCCCGGGGGAAGGGAGCAGGGCTGACGATTCAAGGGCAAATGCCCTTAATGCCCTGAACATTAAGGGCTGGGTTTGGCCCAGCTTCCGAATTTTAAGGGTCGGCTTTGAGGGCAGCCCTTTCCCGCAAAGTGCTGGTTGTGGGCCTAACCCGGATTTCAAGTGCAGATCCCGCGGCTAGCCCCTATTCGTCCCATACTAATATCTCCCTCCCTCCCATTCGCTCACCAGTCCCCCCACCTCCTCCCAGCCACTCCCCTACTTCCTTCTCCCATCCCCCTCAAATCCATCGATATGTTTCGTACCTCAGCCTATTGCTTAGTTGGCTCTTAGTAGTTTGCCTAGGATTAGGTATCCCTGGCGAGGTGCAAAAAAGTTGGTAGCCCTGATTTCAAGTGCCAGGTTTGCTCTCAGCCCGGAAATTTCAGGGCAACTTTTGGGGCACCTCAGCCTCTCAAGTTCTGGCTCCAAACCAATCGACAGCCCTGGAAGGGAGGCCACGGTCGATCGCGACCGTTCGAGGCAAGGATCTGGCGGTGCCGAAGGAGTACCCGTAAAACTATGGCCGCGAGGAGCAACTAACTCGTTCTCCTGGCCGGCCTACGCAACTCCTGGACCCCAAGACATCCTTCCTCGTCCCCCCCCCCCCCGAGGGATATTACACTCTAAAAAGTGGGGTGAGCTAGGAAAGTAGCTCTGATCCAGGTGTTATGAATCAACTTGCAGAGTGCGCAGTAAAACGAATAACGAGAATGGAAATTACTGAATTACTGAATGAAGAAACAATGAAGTAGGGAGGCCTAAATAGGGGACAAGCTAGCTAGGCGGGGGGTTCGGGATGGGATGGCTCGGTGATGGTTGCGATTGGCGCGAAGGCCGTTCGGGGGTGGTTCGGTGCGACGAAATAGGCAAGACAGGTTCGTCGCGTGACCCTCGGGATGTCCTCGCTAACGAGTGCCTCATTAAGGATTTGTAAATCCTTACAGATACCAACGCGTGTAACGCTTTCAAATTACTGGAAGTTCGGGAACAAGCCTCGCAATATCTCTACCAGATAAACAGCGTTGCGAAGTGCTGCGAGCTGCGGTTACCTTACAGAACTCCTGACGGTCAGCTGTTTCGACGGTATTTTCAGTCGATGCTACACGCCCTCATTGGAGATTCAAGCACTGCCTTCGCACATAGCATGGCGAGGCAAGGAGTCGTTTCCTAATTTTAGGGTTTTTAAATACCTAATCTGTGCGGTTAGTGTCGGACGCTTGCCAGACCTAGGCAGCGACCAATTTCGGGTAGTAGACTGAATTCGGAAAATGTGTTGAAATTCGAAATCACATCCACATTGTCTTTGCCCACCCAGAGCAACAATGCAGGGCGGGTGAGGAAATGTGCGCACTTGTTTCGTCAGTCTATCCAATCACCAATCGCGGCTAGACTGTAATCGCTGCGTGCCACGTCAGCAGCGTCCGCTTCTGCTGGCACCAGGCCCCGCTTCACCTCACATATCTCCTATCGCAACCAGAGCTTGTAATTTTTTAGAAGACTAGAAAATCACCTCCAGCTCGCACATCACCTCACAGTGATACAATCAGCGCCCGTTTCAGTAACACCTCGTTATAGCACGGCCCATCTCGGTTACTGCGACGGAACCTGCAGCCATGGGTGCTGGAGCCAGTGCACCGTCTGCTGCTGCTACTCTCCCCGCTGACTACTCCATCTGGGATAATATGAGCCATAGCAGCGATGAGGAGGAGGTAGAGAACAGCAGTGACGAGCAGGAGAGCGAGAGTGGGAGTGACGAGGAGGAGAGAGCGAGTGGAAGCGATGAGGAGGATAGGGAGGGTAGCAGTGATGAGGAGGAAGAGGAGGAGAGTGAGAGCAGCAGTGAGGAAGAGGAGGCTGCCGGAGTCAGCTCATCTGGTTCTCGCTGGTCCAAGTCTGAATCTCTCTGCTCCTGCTGCTTCCACAGGGTGCTAGGCACCCAGGGCAGATTGGCTCTTGGCATTTCGAGCCGGAAAGACTTCCGCGAGGATTTACTTCAGCAACTGCCGGATTCCATTCCCCTGGCAACACCAGACAGGCAGGGAGTGGGTAGGTCCCTGGGAGGTGGTAGAGGAGAAAACGCACCAGGACAGGGAGCAAAAGTACGGGCAGGGAAGAGGAAGGGAGCAGCAGAGATGGGAGCAACAGGAGGCGGTGGTGGGTACACGTGTGACCTCGCCCCCCACCTTTGTGCCGAGGAGATGCTTCTCGAGTGGATGGCTGAGCCTCGTGTGGGCGTGCTCATGGACCTGGGGAGGATCAGATCCCGCCTGCCTGCAATCATTGCTGCTACAGGTGATCCTGCCGATCCTGACCCAAATGCTGCCACGTCCTCGTCCTCCTCCGCTCTCCCCTCGCACACACCCCCTGCCTCGGTCCCCTGGTCGTGCTGCTGGCGCTGCAGCAGCTGCTGGGCCTCCTACCGTCGCGCTGTGTCCCTCTGCGCCTTCCTTGTGCTTGTAGCGAATTCTTTTCGCTTTGTGATTTTATGGAGGGCTCAGCTTGCCTCCCTTACAGGCCTCTTCGCTCCTACTGTGGAGGAGCTAGGGGCCCACAGGCAGGAAGAGGAAGATTGTTTGGCGACGGTGCTGGTGCAGGTGCTGGGGATGAAGGGAGGAGAGGAGATAAACGATGGTTTTAAAGCCCATGTGCTGCCGCTGTTGCCTGGTGGTGCGGAGGCGCACAGAGAGAGTGAGGGTGGAGCAGGGAGGAATGGGGAGAAGCGGGAGGCTGGGAGAAACGGTGGAAGACGGGAGGGGAAAGGTGATGGTGGTGCGGGCAGCAGTGGGGAGTGGAGTCAGGGGCTGGAGGGTCCTGTGTGGGACAGGTATGTGGGCGGTATGGCTTGTCTTCTTGCGCATGATGGACGGGATGAGATGAGGGCCCCCAAAGCCGCTTCCAGCATCAACAGTGATCCCAACGGTTCGTTGAGTTCACGCATCTCCAAAACTTTCATCAGCAGCGGTATTCCCAAGGGCATGTTTGTGAGTGGCATTGACGCCACTGGTTTCGCCCTTGCCGTTGCTACAATTCTCTCCAAGCCCCAATTCTCCGAGGATGCTTGCCGGGTGTTCTTCACAGATGCTAATAACGAGTACAGAGTGAAGCTGGAGAATTCTGCGACTGAGGCTGCCAGGAAGAAAGTAGGCATGGGTGCTGAAAGAGAGGGAGAAGGTGGGGATGGAAAGAGCCGTGGAGTTGAGATTGGTGTGAGAGGTACAGTGAAGGACGGCTGGGAGGCGGTAACCGCAGTCAGTAACACGCTCGTGACTGTGCTGGCGTGGAGGGTGAGCCGCATCCTTATGTGGGTCCGAACCTACGGCCCGAACCTGCAATCTCCAAAGGCATGCGCACTCCGAACCTGCGTCAAGCCAAAAGAGAATCTCCCAAACCTCTGCCACCCATTTCGGAATCTCCCGAGCCTGCTGATCAGGTCCGGCACCGTGCCGGAGCCCTTGGTTTGGCAGGGATTTTCTTGGGAGTGGGAGGAGTTCCCTGCGGGTGATGAAGCTGCTTTAAAGCTTCCTGATGACGTGCAAGGGAGGATTGATTATAAGAAAACCCTTGAAGAGAAGTATGGGGTTACTGTGGACTGGAAAAATCCCACAAGTGCCAGAGCAGCAGCAGCAGCATTGCCAGCAGCAGCATCGGCAGCAGCAGCTTCAAAGAGCCGTCCAGTCATTCGCACACTCGCCGACGTCGAGTTTCTGGTTGAAGCCATGGCAGCAGATTGGAAGGCTCCCAGGTGCACGCGGTGCTGGAAGTGCCATGTCAAGCACGCTGGCGCCATCAACCTCGTCGCCCTCTTCGCCTCCTTCGCCTATCGCCCCGTCTCCACCCTCATTCACCGCTTCCTCTTCCTCTTCCCTCCCGACCAAACCAGAGAGGCGTACAGCCTTCTCGGCCTTTTCATGCCGTCGGGACAAGAGGAGACGGTGAACTGGAGGCACGTGAGAGGGCGGCTGGAAGGGTTTGCCGAGGAACAGGAAATGGCGATGTTCATGCATGCTTGCTCTATAATAGCGAGCAGGTGGGCCAAGGAGGAGGAGCCGAATCCGGGGCGGTTTGCTCGGCTTGTAGAGGAGGAGGGCGCGGGGCAGGAGAAGGGTGGGTTGGGAAAGTGGAAGCAACTGGATAGTGAGATGTGGGAGGAGGTTCGGATGTGGCGGCATGCTGCCAAGGCTGCGTGGCCTGGGGACAGGAGGAACTGGATGGGAGAGCTTCGGGATAAGTGCATGGGCCGCAGGAAAAGGACGAAACATAGGTGCAGTGAAGACGAGGAGGAAGGGGGAGGGGAGGAACAGGAGGAGGAGGGGCTGGTTTATGCGAAGAAATGGGTGGGAGGAGTGAATCTGCTGGCCTGCCTGAGAGCAATGCTGCTGGGAGAGCCATGGAAAGGGTGTCATTCTGCTGCTGCTGCTGCTGCTGCTGCTGCTACTGATTTGGAGAAAGGGAAGATGGAAGCGGCAAATCAAGCAGCAGGGAACAAAGCAGGTGGCAGCGCAGCAGAAAGCGAAGAACCTGGAACCCCGGCAGGCACTTTCTGGACAGATGCATCGGTTGTAGATACCCGGGCAGAGCGACTGAAATCAGGGTACCGGCGCGTGTGCCAGGGGCCGAGGTGCAGCTGTGTGGAGTGGGATGGCGTGGAGCTGAAGATGTGTAGGCGGTGTGGCAGTGAGGCGTACTGCAGCAAAGCGTGCCAGAAGGCTGCCTGGCCCTCCCACAAGCTCACATGCCGGCCAAAGGGACAGGGGAAATGAGAGGCATGGGAGAGAGAGGGGGAAGAGGGCGGGGGGGGGCAGGTGCTCCAGCAAGGAGGAGGAGCACAAGGGCTTTTGATTCACCTGCATGTTCAAGAGTGAGTAGCGGTGTGAACCCTGCAAGGTGTGAAAGGCCTTCTTGTGTTATATAATACCGTAGTGGAGGTGCTCTGAGGTGCCTATAAATGTAAACAGTATACTAGTTGGCCTTACAGTTCAAAACCCCGGCCCAAATTGTCAATGCTTGAAGCTCGTCTGCGATTGACAGACCAGATCTGCTGGCGGCGGTGGACAACACGGCGGATCTGATGCCTTGTCAGTGTTGTCTGCAGTGTTGTCTGTTTGCTTGCCATCCTCTCCCCTGTCTTCAAACCAGGCGAGTCAGGAGGAGAGTCATCAGGAGCAGGGATATCTGTGACCAGCAGCGAAGGGCGCATGGTGCAAGGGTGCCTCTGGGATGACAGCAGCGAAGCTGTCAAGGCATTAGATGCCTGAGCTGTCAGAGGCCTGAGCAATGAGCACAGAATACCTTGTCGAGGTTGCTGCCATGCCAGCATTCTTGATCGGTTTTTATGTAAAAGCGATGCTGGCCTTGGTTGGGGGGAGTTTTTGTTCCTTGAGAGGCTCGTTGATAAGTTCATAATTAGCCAATGGAATTATATTGCCGTGACAACCTTGAGAGCTTGCTGAGCTGAACTATGAACTTTGTCTGATGGCATAACGGAAATAATGAGGCACACACTATAGGCATCTCAGCTTTCGCGACATCATTCCGCCGTGTCAAATGGATGTCGCACGAAACTTGTCCCCTATTCGCCGAAACCAGCTACCAGGAACCACTTCGCCAAACGGCTTCATTTCTGACAAGCAAAAAGTACTCCCCGCTTTTGAATTGTCCGCGCCGCACGATGCGCAGAGAAGAATGTGTTACGTCACATTGCCCATTGCCTTCCATCATCCCCGTCACATGAAACAGCTTCGGACATAATTTACAGGGTGCACCGCGAGCTCGACAATTGAACGAGAGACTGACTGTCTCATGGAAAATCTTGCTGATTGTTTGTTTCACGACACTCTTGTTGCTGTCATTCCAGGAGAGTTGCTAGACATCGATAGTGTAGCTCAGTCCGATTCGTCAAACCACTGCTTCCCATACGAGATTCAGCAGCAGGGGAAAAGAGGTGTGAGGCAGGCGTTGGAAGTCTGTCTTTGCAAATGAGACGCATAAGCTCCACATTTGAGCTTTTGGCCAGGGGGTGTACTTAATCCGCCGCAAATTAAGTGCAGCAAGCAAAGCTTGAAAACCGCCGTGTACCGTCAAAATGCTTTCTGCCGGGAGTGTACAAGGGGGAGGATCAGGCGGCAATGAAGATACGCGTGAGAAGGCCCCATTGGATGTGCCTCCTGCTGCATCTGCCGCTGTGAGTGTGCCTCCGTGCGCGACCCGGGTTGAGGAGGAGAGCACGAGCAGCAGTGGCCACGAGCAGCTTTTGGAATGGATACACATATTGAAGATGACGGCCGAGTGGCTTTGCCACGGCAGCGAGGGCGAACCAGGCACGGCAGCGAGGGCGAACCAGGCACGGCAGCGAGGGCGAACCAGGCACGGCAGTGCGACGACAAGCAAGGGGCGGCAGGAGAGCACTGCCGTTCCAAGGGGCTTGGAAAGGATCCGAGAAGGTTCAGGTGCTGTCGCGCGCAGACATGGTGCATTACGTGGACGTGAGAGGCGCGTGGGACTGGCGAGAGTGCGAGTGCTGCTTCGACCGCGCAGTGAGCTACCGCGCACAGCGCGCACTCGGCATGGTCCGCCTGAGACACTTCCGTTGCGACCTTCAGAGGCAGCTGCCAGACTCCATCCCCCTTGCTCCCCAGGAGCGACCATCCAGCGCCATGGTTGAGGACTCTGCTAGAGTGCCCTTGAGGCCGTTGGAGCCTCTGGAGGAGTGGCCTCCCCAGCAGTTGTTCGGCGTCAAGTGTGCCGTGGCGCCCATTCGCTGTGCCGAGGCGATGATTCTCGAGTGGATGGCTGAGCCTCGCGTGGGCGTGCTCATGGACCTGGGGAGGATCAGATCCCGCCTGCCTGCCATCCTGGCCGCTACAGATGCTGCTACAGCTGCAACCTCTCCTGCGACAGCTGCTGCCCTTGCTGCCGCTGCTAGTGGAACGTGGGCGACTCGCTGGGCTGCCTACCGCCGTGCTGTGAGCTTCGCTGCCTTCCTCACGCTTGTAGCGAGGTGCCCGCGCGTTGTGAATCTAAAGAGGTTGTGTATGCGTGGAGAGACCTCAGTTTATCCGGCTATCATGGCCCAGTTCGGGGCGGGGAGGCAGGTGGAGAACGACTGCATTGCGTCCGTGCTGGTGCAGGTGCTGGGGGTGAAGGAGGTTGCTGACCTGCAGGAAGGGTTTGGGTTCTTCGTGCAGCATGTGCTGTCAGGCGGGCTGGAGAAGGCGCATGGAGAGGAGAAGGGGAGAGGGGCAGCTGGAGAGGAGGGTGCTGAGAAGACACACTGGGAGGAGGGGGGGACTTGGGGGGAGGCTGCAGAGAAAGCGCAGGGAGAGGAGGGACGGGCGGATGGCGAGATGATGGATAGGGGTGGGGGCATGGAAAAGGAGGAGGAGAAGGTGGCCGCCCTGGCAAGGTTGATTGCCTCTCAGGTTGATGCTGGTGGTGGGAGGGACGGAGGGGAACCAAAGCATAGCAGCGAGGCGAGCAAAGGGGGAGAGAGACACAGCAGCGGGGCGGCTAATGGAGCTGCTGGGGAGGGTGGCAGACGAGGGAAGAATGGGCAGTGGAGGGAGAATCTGAAGGGGCATGTGTGGGAGAGGTATGTGGATGGCATGGCTTGGATTCTGGAGCATAGAGGGGGGGAAGGGAGGGAGTTTAGATGCAGCCAGTGCAGTGAGGAGGGCAGCCAGTGCAGTGAGGAGGGCAGTCAGTGCAGTGAGGAGGGCAGCCAGTGCAGTGAGGAGGGCAGCCAGTGCAGTGAGGAGGGCAGCCAGTGCAGTGAGGAGGGCAGTCAGTGCAGTGAGGAGGGCAGCCAGTGCAGTGAGGAGGGCAGCCAGTGCAGTGAGGAGGGCAGCCAGTGCAATGAGGAGGGCAGCCAGTGCAGTGAGGAGGGCAGCCAGTGCAGTGAGGAGGGCAGCCAGTGCAGTGAGGAGGGCAGCCAGTGCAGTGAGGAGGGCAGCCAGTGCAGTGAGGAGGGCAGCCAGTGCAATGAGGAGGGCAGCCAGTGCAGTGAGGAGGGCAGCCAGTGCAGTGAGGAGGGCAGCCAGTGCAGTGAGGAGGGCAGCCAGTGCAGTGAGGAGGGCAGCCAGTGCAGTGAGGAGGGCAGCCAGTGCAATGAGGAGGGCAGCCAGTGCAGTGAGGAGGGCAGCCAGTGCAGTGAGGAGAGCAGCCAGTGCAGTGAGGAGGGCAGCCAGTGCAGTGAGGAGGGCAGCCAGTGCAGTGAGGAGGGCAGCAACAATGGAGGTGATGTGCAGGTGAATGGTGCTCCCAAGGGCATGTATGTGAGTGGAGTAGGCGCCACGGATTTCGCTCTTGCGTTTGCCACAGAGCTGTCTAAGCCAGAGAGCTGTGCTGAGGCGTGTATGTACATATTGGATGGGAACAATGCCAATAAGGTGAGGGTGGAAGAGGCAGCAATTCAGGAGGCTAGAAGCAGGTTGAGAAGAGGGGTAGGTGGAAAGGGCAGAAAAGTGCGTTCAGGAGGAACAGGAGGAGATGGGGCAGCAGCAAACACGAGTGGGGCAGCAGCCAACACGAGTGGGGCAGCAGCAAACACGAGTGGGGCAGCAGCAAACAGGAGCGGGGAAGCAGCAAAAAAAATCCGAGCAGCAGCAAGCACTACCGGGGCAGTATCAAACACGATTCGGGAAGCAGCAAACACGAGTGGGGCAGGAGCAAACACGAGTGGGGCAGGAGCAAACACGAGTAAGGCAGGAGCAAACAGGACCAGAGCAGCAGAAGCATCAGTGATGAGGAATGCATCTGCTTTCAGTGCTGCTGCTTCAGATGAAAACCGGCCTTGTACACGAGTGGATGGCACCTGCGCCAGCTACAACCCTGGGCTAGTACCCGTAAACACAAATCCGGTTTTTTCAGCCTTCACTTATCGAGTTGCCCGCATCTTACAGTGGGTTCGAATCTACGGCTCAGATGTTGTCTTTGTAGACCGATGCTGCAAGATTAAGCCACAGAATAAGATCCTGGAAATGCCCCATCCCTTTCGAGACCTCCCGAGCCTGCTGCTGAGGCTTGGTGCCATCCCCAAGCCTCTTGATGATGCTGATTTTTCTGTAGAGTGGGAGGAATGGCCACAGGGCGATGAAGCTGCTTTGAAGCTTCCAGATGATCCCAATGCAAGATTCTTTCTGCTGGGTATCTCGGAGGAGAGTGGAACGGGAGTGGAGAGTGAGCAGAGGGTGACAGAAGCAGCATCAAAGTCTGGGAGGAAGCACACGAGGCGGAAGGTGAGAGGAGCCAAGGCACCTGGCCAAGCGAGTGACGGCAGTTGGGGCCATACAGACAGAGGGATTGGCGGAGTGACGGAGCAAAAGGGCATTCCACATCCATTCGGCATGGCTGTTATACGGCCGCCTCCGAGAAGGAAGCTTCCCATTGTCCGTTGCGTGGCGGATGCAGAATCTCTTGTGGAGGGGGTCGGCCAGGTCGTGACTCCACCGGCATGTACCCACTGTGTCCAGTGCTTCCGCGACTACTACCTCCTCCTCCCATCCATCGCCCTCATTGCCAAGTATGCCTACCGCCCCCTCTACGTCCTCTTCAACCGCTTCTTATCCGTCTTCCCGCCGCACTCCTTTGGGTTCCACACGCTTGTGAAGGACATGGGGTTGCCGCCGTTTCCCTCAGGCCCGGCTTCACCTACCAACCTTGCAATTCTGCGCGGTGAGATCGAGAAGGAGCGCGTTACCTTTCTGCTGCTCGTCGCCCTCAAGTGGCCGGCCTCCATTCTGGATTTGGAACAGTTTGAGGGCAAAGAGCTGTTGGAGGGAGACGCGATTCGAGTGAAGAAGAAGGTTGCGACGGGGAGGAAGAAAGGGAAGGCTCGGAGAGGGATGGGAAACGGAGGGGAGGAGGAGGAAGAGGAGGACGATGGAGAGGTGTGGGAGGAGTTGGAGTCGTGGTGCTTCACAGCCCAGAATGCCTGCCCATCCAGCCTGCGTGTCTCGTTGCGGGATGCCGATGTTGAATCGGAGGACTCAGGTTCAGGTCTGAGTGATGTGTGCATGGGCAGTGAGGGGCAGCAGGAGAGGGTGGACATGAACACGAGGATTGCTGATCTGGTCAGCACAGGTGCGGAGAAGATGCGCCGAAAGAGGGTGCAACTCCGCCGGGGTGGTGCTGTGGCGAGTAGCAGCACTGGCAAGGGCAATGAGGGAAAGGGGAAGAAGGCGGAGCTGCCACCTTACCTAAAGGCATGGCCGGGGGGGGTCAATCTGCTGGCATGTCTGCGAGAGATGCTGTTGGGGGAGCCGTGCTACCGCCCTGCCTCCCCTGCTGCCCCTTCCGTCCATCCTGGTGTGAACACCACTGGTGCAGCGCCAAGCACAACTGCTTCTGCCTCTTCCTCCCTTGCTGCTCCAACAACTGCTGCTCCAAACACTGCTGTCTTGTCTACCCACCCACCCGTGCACACCCGTGCTACCATGTCTACCTATGCTGCTTCTTCTCCCCATGTCACCCCAACTACTGGTGCTGCAATAGGCACTGCAAATACAGCTGCATGTGCAGAGGCCTCTGCTCTTGATGCTAGCAGGGAGAGTAGGTGCAGTGCTGCGGGGTGTGGAAGGATGGAGGGTGGTGGTGTGAAGCTGAGGAGCTGCGGTGGGTGTGGCAAGGTGGCGTATTGCAGCAGAGAGTGCCAAAAGGCGCACTGGCCCTCCCACAAGCTCACATGCCCCGGCAGGACCAGTGGCAAGGAGGGTGCCAGCCGCAGTGGCAAGGTGAGTGGAAAATATGAGTGAGCTTGCAAAGAAGGGCAACTGTAGTGGGGTATGGCACGGGGAATAGCTGAGTTGCTGAGGCATGGAAAAATGTTGAGGCAAGGGGAATTGCTGAGGGATGGGCTGAGGCATGGGCTTGAGTTGGGTTGCTGATGCATGGGGGAATCGCTGATGCATGGCGGAATTGCTGATGCATGGGGGAATTGCTGATGCATGGCGGAATTGCTGATGCATGGGGGAATTGCTGATGCATGGGGGAATTGCTGATGCATGGGGGAATTGCTGATGCATGGGGGAATTGCTGATGCATGGGGGAATTGCTGATGCATGGGGGAACTGCTGATGCATGGGGGAATTGCTGATGCATGGCGGCATTGCTGATGCATTGGGGAATTGCTGATGCATGGGGGAATTGCTGATGCATGGGGGAATTGCTGATGCATGGGGGAAGTGCGGATGCATGGGGGAACTGCTGATGCATGGGGGAATTGCTGATGCATGGCGGCATTGCTGATGCATGGAGGAATTGCTGATGCATGGGGGAATTGCTGATGCATGGGGGAATTGCTGATGCATGGGGGAATCGCTGATGCATGGGGGAATTGCTGATGCATGGGGGAATTGCTGATGCATGGGGGAACTGCTGATGCATGGGGGAACTGCTGATGCATGGGGGAATTGCTGATGCATGGCGGCATTGCTGATGCATGGGGGAATTGCTGATGCATGGGGGAATCGCTGATGCATGGGGGAATTGCTGATGCATGGGGGAATTGCTGGGGCATTTGGAATTGCTGGACAGTGGCATGATGAGTGGCAAGGTGTACACAAGCCTAACACTGGCATGGAACTGTGAGTGACACAAACAGCAAGGACAGCACCTGAGGTGAAAGAGTGGTGCACAGTCTGGTGAGTACGGGTGTAGGTAAGACTATGGCAGAGGCACCCTTTCACTTCCCATGCTGTGAAAAGAAGCCTCGCTTCATGGCTCATGTGCTTCTAAGCGTCTGCCTTGCGCATTGCTGGGGTGGGAAGGGACAATGACTGTACATGTTTTGGCTTCCATCTGATTCAACAGGTAACATGCATCTAGATTCGTTCCCTTCCTTCTGCTCCATCTCCCCCAACGTTGTTCACCTGATTCCTTGAAATGTGCAGTTTCAACGAGATCACACTGCTCACACCCATGTCCCTTGAGAGAATATTTACCTAATTATGGAATAAATAGTCAGAATCTGCAAGCATTAGTGGGTATGTCATGGATTTGAGAACTTTGATTTTACAGAATAGCCAGAGTTCTAAACCAGTTTTCATATTCCAGCCCACCACACCGACAAGCTCTGGCTGGCACATTTTTCAGCTAGGCACCATTTTTCAGTGTGTGAGCCCAGGGCCCAAGGATGCAATGCCGTAGCCAAGCTCACATCACAACAACAAAAATTCCAGCCGCGCCGTCCATTCACTTTCACTTCAGCTCAATCCGCGGAGCTTTGCCAAGGCCAGAGTGATACACTCCTCTGACTTGCTCACATCTTTGGGCAGGTTCAAGCTGGTAATCCGGTGAATAGAACTTGCTGTCAAATGATATATATGCTACATATGCTTAGGCTGTAGTGGGGTAGCCAATATGGGGTACAGCCCACATTAGGGTTTCATATTTGTACCTCATACTCTCATAGTTCAATCATTCCTGCTGCTAGATTCTGACATGGTTTCAGAGCACTAGGTCCGTAGGACCGTTTTTTTTTCGAGCCCACCTACCGTTGCGGTTACCACGTTACCCCACGTATTGTCCTGCGCCTGCCTGCCTGCCTGCCTTGCCTTGTGACGTGCTGCGCTACGCGCGCCGTCCTGCAGCCCTCGCGCTGCCTACTGCTGCCCTAGGCCAGCGCGCCGCCCCTGCAGGCCCGTAAGGCCCGCGCGCCACCCCTACAGCCTCGTAAGGCCAGTGCGCCGCCCCTGCAGGCCCGTCAGGCCCGTTAGCCGCCCCTGCAGGCCCGTCAGGCCCGCGAGCCGCCCCTGCAGGCCCGTCAGGCCAGAGCGCTGCCCCTACAGGCCCGTCAGGCCAGAGCGCCGCCCCTGCAGGCTCGTCAGGCCGCCAGCCGTCCCTGCAGGCCCCTCAGGCCCGCTACCCGCCCCTGCAGGCCCGTCAGGCCCGCGAACCGCCCCTGCAGGCCCGTCAGGCCGGGTCGCCGCCCCGCGCGTCGCGCCCGCTGCCCGCGCGTCGCGCTGCAGCCCCGCGCGTCGCGTCCGCTGCCCGCGCGTCGCGCTGCAGCCCTGCGCGTCGCGCCCGCTGCCCGCGCGTCGCGCTGCAGCCCCGCGCGCCGCGCCCGCAGCTCGCGCAGCGCGCTGCAGCCTCGCGCGCTGCGGCTGCCCCTGTTCCTCGCGGCTGCCCCTGGACGCCGCCCTGCAGCAGCTGCCACCGTCGCTCCTGCAGCAGCTGCCACGGAGCGCCCTGCCACAGTCGCGGCCCTGCCCAGCAGCAACTGCCGCGGAACCTTCTGCAGCCGTCGCGACCCTGCCCTGCAGCAGCTGTCGCGGAGCCTCCTGTCGCGGTCGCGGCCCTGCCCTGCAGGAGCTGCCGCGGAGCCTCCTGCCGCGTTCGCGGCCCCGCCCTGCAGCAGCTGCCGCGGAGCCTTCTGCCGCCGTTGCGGCCCCGCCCTGCAGCTGTCACGGCCCCGCCCTGCAGCTGCTGTCGCGGACCTGCCCTACCGCCGACGCGGCCCTGCTCTGCCGCAGCTGTAGCGGCCCTGCCGTCGCCGCCGTCGTGCGCCTGCCCTTCCCGCCACTGGTGAGCACCTACCTTGTTCGTGTGCTACCGCCTGCCTGCCTGCCTGCCTCCCTGCCTGCCTGCCTGCCTGCCGCGCCTGCCCTGCACGCGCTGCTGCTGCTACTACTGCTATTGCTACTGCTACTGCTACTGCTGTTACTACTGCTACTGCTGCTACTACTGCTACTGCTGCTACTGGCGGTGGCCAGATGCAGCTCCAGCGACGTCCGCGCGAGTCTCGCACGCCCCAGCAGCTTAGTGAGTGGTACGCTAGTTGGGGTTGTCGCGGTAGCCGTCGTAGCTGTCGCCCTGGAGCTGGTCAGTTGGGAGAGTCTGGCAGTGGCCAGCTGCAGCTGCAGCGGCGTCCACGCGAGACACTTACGTCTCGGCAGCTTCACGAGTGGTACGCTCAGAGTAGAGGGTCTCTGAGTACCGTTTGCTGCCCGTACGTCATTCGCACTGGTGCTCGAACTGGTCAGGCTTGCGGGACGCTCAATCACACACAGTCCCGTTGCTTCGCCCGTCTGAGCGACGCCTGGCGTACCAAGTTTGGCGACGAGGCTGAGCTCCCCGACTGGGTGGAGCTGCTTGGGCAGAGGGTAGATATCTTTGCTCTTGACTATGATGCTATTCTCACTGCCATGTATGCATTGCCTACTAGTGCTGACCGTGCCTGTTACCTGTGCGTACCGCCTGACCCAGGTATAGAGCCTGCTGCTCTAGGTGCTGGTGAGGCTGCTGCTCTAGGGGCTAGTGTGTCTCCTGCTCTAGGTACGGGTGAGGCTGCTGCTCCAGGTGCTGGTGAGTCTGCTCTCTCTGGTACTGCGCCTGCTCAGGCCTTGTACACCTTCACACTTGACTCTGGTGCTTCTCGCTGCTTCTTTCGCGACAGCACCTCCCTCACGCCGCTCAGTCGGCCGGTTCCAGTCTCTCTGGCAGACCCCTCTGGGGGTCCCGTCCGTGCGACCTCTTCCACTGTCCTCCCTTGTCCTGCTGTCCCGTCCGGCACACTGTCGGGTCTTCACCTCCCCTCGTTCTCTACGAACTTGGTGGCGGGTTCTGCGCTCCAGGACGCGGGTGTTCACCAGTTCACCCCTGCCTACGAGCGTGTGTCACACTGCACGTGTGCTCAGACGGGTCGTCACCTGGCTACCTTCACTCGGCAGCCGGGGTCGGGCCTGTACACACTGACCACTGAGTCCCCTCAGGTAGCTGCGTCTGCGTCTGCGTCAGGTCAGTTGTCGGCCCCCTGCTCGTGTCGCGCCTTGTCGCACCAGACCCTCCTTTGGCACCACCGCCTTGGTCACCCCTCGGTGCAGCGCCTTCGCAGCATGCACTGCCGTGTCCTTGTCGCTGGTCTTCCCAGGGTTCTCCCTCCCCTCCCACCCTCGCCTGCTCCTCCCTGTCTTCCCTGTGTCGAGGGGCGGCAATGTGCTGCTCCTCACTCCTCCTCGTTCCCTCCCACAGAGGCTCCCCTGCAGACTCTCCACCTGGACGTGTGGGGCCCAGCCCGCGTCCGTGGACAGGGCCACGAGCGGTACTTCCTGCTGGTCGTCGACGACTACACGCGTTACACCACGGTCTTCCCCTTGCGCACCAAGGGTGAGGTCCCTGATGTTTTGATCCCCTGGATCCGCGCTGCTCGTCTCCAGCTCCGCGAGCGGTTCGGGACGGAGTTTCCCGTCCTGCGTCTGCACTCTGACAGAGGTGGTGAGTTTTCCTCCGACCTCTTGGCAGCCTTCTGTGAGGAGCATGGCATCACCCAGTCGTTCACGCTTCCGGCCACTCCGCAGCAGAATGGGGTTGCTGAGCGCCGCATTGGCTTAGTCATGGAGGTCGCTCGTACCTCCATGATCCATGCGGCTGCCCCCCATTTTCTGTGGCCGTTTGCGGTCCGGTACGCCGCGCATCAGCTCAACCTCTAGCCCCGTGTCTCCTTGCCGAAGACCTCGCCCACACTGTTGTGGACGGGGAAGGTTGGCGATGCGTCGCGTTTCTGGGTCTGGGGTGCTCGTTCCTTTGTCCGCGATACCACCGCGGACAAGCTCTCCGCCCGCGCTGTTCCCTGTGTCTTCCTTGGCTTTGTCCCTGACGCGCCTGGTTGGCAGTTTTACCACCCCACCTCGCGCCGTGTCTTCCCCTCTCAGGACGTCACGTTCGACGAGTCGGTTCCCTTTTACCGTCTCTTCCCCTACCGCACTGCCCCTCTCCCCTCCCCGCCGCTCTTCCTCGCTCCAGGTGCTCCCCAGGTAGACCCCCTCCCCACTCCCGGTCCTCCTCCTTCAGGTGTGTCTCAGCTAGACCCTCCTCCCTTGACTGTGCCGGTTGAGGTCACTGGTGACTCAGGTCCTGCTGAGGGTGGTCCTGCTCGGGGTGCTGTTTCTGGGAGTGCGGAGCCTGGGGGTGCGGAGCCTGGGGGTGCTGAGCCTGGAGGTGCGGAGCCTGGGGGTGCGGAGTCTGGAGCTGCTGAGGGTGCTGGCGCTGGAGGTTCTGGAGCTGCTGCGGGTGCTGGCGCTGGAGGTTCTGGACCTGCTGCGGGTGCTGGCGCTGAGAGTTCTGAGCCTGCTGTTGTGCGGTCTCCTTGGAGTAGCCGCCTTCGTCCGCGTGTGCCTCTCATCTCACAGCAGCTGCACGACTGGTACAGTCGCCGTCAGGGTCGCGTTTCTGGAGCTCGGAGCTCTGCCGATGGAGGTGTTTCTGCTGTCGTCACTGGAGCTGGGAGTGGTGCTGGTCCCGGAGGTGCTCGTACTGGAGGTACTGGAGCTGCTGGGGCTGGAGGTGCTGCTGAGCCTGAGGGTGCTGCTGCTGGAGACCCTGGGTCTGGGGGTGCTGCTGCTGGAGACACTAAGGCTGGAGACCCTGGGACTGGAGGTGCTGGTTCTGGGGGTGCTGCTGCTGGTGGAGCTGGTCCTGGAGGAGCTGGCGCTGAGGGTTCTGGAGCTGCTGGAGGTGCTGGAGCTGCTGGGGGTGCTGGAGCTGCTGGTGCTGGTGGCACTGCACAGCCGCGCCTGTTCTTCGCTCCACCGTCTCCGTCGTCTCAGCCACCGCCTGACTCTGTGCTTCGCCAGGTTCTTAGTCTCCCTTCGTCTACTGGTCTTCCGTTACAGCCTGGCTCACCGCTGCCTGCTCCTTCTCCTTACATTGAGCAGACAGGGGGTTTTACTGAGCGTCGTGAGCCTGCGTCGCGTCCTGTCTCGCCTGTCCGTTCTAGTAGTTCCGGTCGTCGTGTTCCTCGTTCGCGTCAGCCGACTGTCCCCTGCACCCACCTCGTAGTTTGTCGTCCTTCCTCTCCTCCGCAGCGTGTCCCCCTGCCGTCCCCTCCTGCGTCTTCTCTGCCTACCGTTCCTGAGCCTGAGTCTCACCGCACCCGTGCTGCTCACTCTACTGTCACGCGTCTGCTAGCCACACTTGTCACTGACCCGTCGTTTGAGTCTGCTGCTGCGTCTGCCTTTGTTGCTGAGCTTGTTGACATTGCTGCTGCCTGTCGTCTAGACTACGCCGCTAGTCTTGTTGCTGAGTCTGAGTCTGTCTGTCCTCCGTCCGTCGGGGGTGAGTGTGCTCTTGGCACGGACGTCCTTGAGTGTCTTGCAGCCGCTGCGCCTCACCTCGTGTCCATGCTGCTTGCCCCTGAGGGAGACCCGGATGCTCCAGACATCCCGACCCCACGCTCTTACGCTGAGGCGATCGCGGGTGAGTACTCCTCTCAGTGGCAGACAGCCATGGACGCAGAGATGGCATCCTGGAAGTCCACAGGCACCTACGTCGACGAGGTTCCCCCTCCTGGGGCGAACATCGTCAGTGGCATGTGGATTTTCAGGGTGAAGCGGCCGCCAGGTTCTCCGCCTGTCTTCAAGGCTCGTTACGTTGCTCGAGGCTTCAGTCAGCGAGAGGGAGTAGACTTCTTTCAGACCTTCTCCCCCACCCCGAAGATGACCACTCTTCGGGTGCTGCTGCACGTCGCCGCTCAGCATGACTACGAGCTTCACTCTCTTGACTTCAGCACAGCTTTCTTACAGGGCAGCCTGCACGAGGAGATCTGGCTGCGCCGCCCTCCTGGCTTCACTGGGTCGTTCCCTCCTGGTACCCAGTGGAGCCTCCGACGGCCAGTCTACGGTCTCCGCCAGGCACCACGTGAGTGGCACGACACACTGAGGACTACACTTGCGGCTCCTGGGTTTGCTCCGTCGACTGCTGACCCGTCGCTGTTTCTGCGCACCGACACATCGCTGCTGCCGTTCTACATCCTCGTGTACGTCGACGACTTAGTCTTTGCCACTGCTGACACTGAGGCTCTCGCCCACGTGAAGTCCGAGCTGCAGAAGAGACACACGTGCACAGACCTGGGTGAGCTGACAAGCTATCTTGGCTTGCGGATCACCCGGGACAGAGCACGCCGCACCATCACACTGACTCAGTCACACATGGTGCAGCAGGTCCTTCAGCGCTTCGGCTTCACCTGGTCCTCAGCACAGCCGGCTCCTCTGGCTACAGGTCACTCGCTCTCAGCTCCACCTTCGGACGAGTCCGTAGAGCCGAGTGGTCCTTACCCAGAGCTAGTAGGCTGCCTCATGTACCTGATGACTTGCACTCGTCCTGACCTCGCGTACCCTCTTGGCCTTCTGGCTCGCTACGTAGCTCCTGGTCGGCACCGAAAGGTGCACATGGATGCTGCTAAGAGGGTACTGCGCTACTTGTGCAGTACGTCAGGCATGGGGCTCGTGCTTGGAGGGAGGAGCTCAGTTGTTCTCACTGGGCACTCAGACGCTTCTTGGGTTGACGACCAGGCTACTCAGCGGTCGTCACAGGGTTACACCTTCAGCCTTGGCTCTGGTTCAGTTTCTTGGCGTTCTACTCGCTCGTCTTCAGTTCTCAGCTCCAGTTGTGAGGCTGAGATCTACGCCACAGCCATGGCTGCACAGGAGCTACGCTGGCTGACCTACCTGCTGACCGACTTGGGAGAGTTGCCTCGTTCTCCTCCAGTGCTGTACGTCGACAACAAGGCTGCCATTGCCTTGTGTGAGGAGCACAGACTGGAGCACAGAACGAAGCACATCGCTCTGCGTTACTTCCTGGCTCGAGAGCTGCAGCAGCGTGGTCAGCTTCGTCTGCGTTACGTGGCCACTCACACCAACACCGCTGATATATTTACCAAGGCACTTCCGTCTGGTGATCATCAGCGTTTCTGCACTTTGTTAGGCCTTGTGCCCATTTTTCCTCACTTGCTGTAGACTTTGTTTGTACTGTGATCTATATATATATACCTGCTTGCTTGCTCTGCTAGGTAGAGATCACTGTGCTGTTGTTGTTGCATATATACCTCTGCATGTGAACTGGCCTTGTGGCCCTTTGCTTGTGCTCAGTGTGTGTGGTGACGTTGTGATCCACCCTGAGCTTGCTTTGCTTCTCTTGACTGGTCTTGTGACCCCTTGCTCTCCCCCACTTTGCCTATGGGGGTGTGTCAAATGATATATATGCTACATATGGTTAGGCTGTAGTGGGGTAGCCAATATGGGGTACAGCCCACATTAGGGTTTCATATTTGTACCTCATACTCTCATAGTTCAATCATTCCTGCTGCTGGATTCTGACACTTGCCAGCATTCATCCAGACCTAGATTCATCCAGACACACGCCATTGCTGTTGCAGCTCCTGCTCCTGCACCTACTTCTGTTTTTTCTCCTGTTCGTGCTCCTTCTGCTGCTGGAGCTCCTGATTTTTGCTCCTAATGTTGCAGCAACACCTGCTCCTGCTGCTGCTGCTGTTGCCATCTTCTGCTCCTGCTGCTGCAGCTGCTTCTATGCCATTCCCCACTGCAGCCGACTTGGCATGCACACCCTTGTTTATATAAAAAAACTTCTCTCTTTATAAGATTTACCGTACGGGACACCATGAACGTTCCATTTACCACAATTTTCACAGCAGTAAAGGATAAGACACATATGTCTCATATCCAAGTGATGTCAACATGCCTTTCACACACGCAGTAAAGGATAAGACACATTTGTCTCATATCCAAGTGATGACGACTTGCCTTTCACACACAAGAGTCACACTTATTTTTCAGGGTTCTACGTAAAGCAAAAGCACACTAGTGTGGGCACGGACAAAAGGATGGCCCTGTAGGGGCGTGCTGTACACACAACGCGATTGCAGCAGGGTTGTCCATTCTTGAGACCAACCTGATGCAACAGGGCAGAGAGGAGCACAACCAGGGCTGACTTTTCGAATAAAACCACTCTGATTTTTTTGGCCCCCCAATTTTTTTTAGTCTGAGGCCCATTTTCCAAAAAGTGAATACTCTGATTTCTCAGGAACCAGAGAAGTATAACTCTGAAAATTTTATAATTCAGAGACTAAGGCAGGTTTTCCTACTAACGAACCTTTTGCACAAGTTCGGAGGGATGGGTTTTCCTCGAAGTAACAGGTATGGCGAAGGGGAGTTCGTACTCTGTAGTATGAAAACTCATTATCCGGTAAGCAAGTTCTCTGATTTTTTCAGTATCGAAAAAACCATTAGTCTGAAGCACTCATTTTTCAAAACCAGCCAACTCTAAAAAATCAGGAATGTCAGGAAAATAGTCTGAAATTTCAGACAATCAGACTAAAATAGTCTGATATCGTCAGCCCTGCAACGCTCCATAATCTTGGGGCTTTAAGAAAACAATATCTTCAAATTACATGCCACATGCTACAGCACAAACCAGCACTGCAAAGATCAGGGTTTTCGGGTTTCAGGGTTGGATGAACACACAAAACATGATTCGGCCATTTGCTGTTCATCCCCCATCAGCTTCAATGATGCGTACCATAAATCCTGCTTTGCATCGCACTGCACTGTATCGCATATGCTGCAATGCTTCTATCTTTCCACAGTGCATCGCCTGAACGCCACAGAGTACGAGTGGCGGGTGCAGCTCCAACGCTCGTCCGTCCGCCCTATCTGCCACTGGCTGATCCAATCACACTCCACTCGCTCCCACCCATCCCCACCTCCCTCCACTGCCTTCCCTTGCCCAGAATTCTTAACCAGCTGCTCAAACTTTCCTGAGTTCCTCTGTGGTTTTTTACTGTGCCTGTTTTTCCTAGGCTCCCTTGTCAGTTCTGCATTCCCTCCCCTGCCCACGTGCTCCTTGTGATGATCTTGGCCTGGGTCGCATTGCTCCCCCCCATTATCCACTTCATTGTCATCCTGCTTCCACTCCTTGCCCTCCCCCGCACCCTCCTCTTCCCCCTCATCATTCTTTTCCTCCTCTCCTTCCTCTTCCTCCTCTTCCTCCTCTTCCTCCTCTTCTTCCTCTTCCTCCTCTTCCTCCTCTTCCTCCTCTTCTTTCTCTTCCTCCTCTTCTTTCTCTTTCTCCTCTTCCTCCCCGTCTTTCTCTTCCGCGTATTCCTCTTCTACTTTCTCCTCCTCTGCCCTCTCTCTTCTCCGCTTCAGCCTGCCACCCCGTCGCCACGTCTTCAAGCCAGGGAAGCGCCACGTCAGCAGGTGATGACCGCAAATGCCGCCCTCCTTCTCCCCCACGAGGATATACTCCCTCACTGACGCCTGCCGCCGCATGGCTACCGTCCAGTCCACTCCTAGGGGCTGATTGCATGGGCATGGGAGAGGGGAGAAGACGAGAAGGTGGGAAGATGTCCAAGGTGCACAAGGACATGTGCGGCAATATACTCGTACGCTGATGACAAAAAAGAGAACATGAAGGCAAGGGACAAAGTTCAAGAGCACGGGCACACCGGCCGAGATGGAAAAAGAACAGATGTTGACATTAAGGATTAGGGACAACGGACTTACATGGAGCAAGAAGCACAGAAACAGAGGATATGAAAGGCAAGAGTGGACCTTGGAGAAGAAGACGACAAGTTTGACTGAAACTGGAATGAAACCGCAGCATTGTTACTCAAGCGGTACTTGGATTAGATTCTGGGCGAACATACAGCACTGTTACCCTCCCATGCCTCACCATCCAGCATGCGATCACAATATGGGGCTTGTATGCCGCAATGGCAGTTTCTGCATCACACGCTATCACTTCCTCCCCTGCCTCCACATGATCAATGTCCCTTGGACCTCCACTGCCCTCCCTTGGACCTCCACTGCCCTCCCTCGAATCACCATAGTCGGCACCAGCGAGGCTGCGTGTGGCAGCGACACCGCCAGGCAGCCAACGAGGCATGGCATCAGTGGCGATCACTCTCATCCACAGCCCCTCCAACCTCACCCACTCACTGCCAGTCCCCCTCTCCGTGTCCCTCCTCCTGCCATTCCTCCTCCCTCCTCCCTGTTCTTCATGTTGTTGTCCCCCTTCCTCCCTCATCTCACCCTCCTCGCCCTCCCACTCTGCACCCTCCCCGTCTGCGCCCCACTCTCGCAAGCACTGCCGCAGCTTGCAGGCCAGCAGGCCATCGCCTGCCCCCACCTGCCTGCCGCACGCGGGAGGGGCGAGAGAAGATGAAGATTGTTGAGAGGAGTGGAGACGGGCAGATATGAAGAAGCGTGCATGCCGGCACATGCTTCCATCTGAGCGATGGCAGTTGAGGGAGAGGAGAAGAGAGTGGTGAGTATCTGAGCAAATGGTGAGGCAGGGGAGGGGAGGGAGATCTCAGAATGACATGGTAAGGTTGCAATGGACAGGTGCAGGGAAGGAAGAGATAACCCCCACTGTGGGAATGAACGAGCAGGAGCTTGGGTGTGAAGCTTCGCAGCACGCTTCATAGCATGGGAGACAGACCATAGAAGAGAGAACATAGAAGAAAGAGCATATAAGACAGAGCGTGGAAGGCAGAGGGTGGCAGGTAGAGGGTGGCAGGCAGAGGGTGGCAGGCAGGGCATGCAATATACAATCCGCCACAATGTGCCTCGCTCCTGCCTGCACTGCACCCCCAGCAGCAGCAGCAGCAGCAGCAGCAGCAGCAGCAGCAGCAGCAGCAGCAGCAGCAGCAGCAGCAGCAGCAGCAGCAGCAGCAGCAGCAGCAGCAGCAGCAGCAGCAGCAGCAGCAGCAGCAGCAGCAGCAGCAGCAGCAGCAGCAGCGGCGGCGGCGGCAGCAGCAGCAGCAGCGGCAGCAGCAGCGGCCCACCTCCAGCATGGTGAGGGATGTGAGCCCACTCGTGCGCCTGTAGTGCCCTGCACGCTCGCTGGGGGGCATAGAAGGGGGCAGGGCATGGGAGGAGGAAAGGCATGGGAGAGGCAAAGCATGGTGGGGATGAGAGGCTGTTGGGGGCGCATCAAAAGGGAAGCCTGCATGGCATGGTTTATGCAAAAGCAGTCCGTGAGAAAATGCAGATGGCATGGCGGAGAGGGTGGCAGGGGCGGGAGGCAAGAGCAGGGCAGAGGAAGGAACACCAGGGGCGGGACCCCCGGATTCTCCAGTGTTTTCGACAGTTTCCGCTCCATTGCTACAGGAGACAGCAGCCACGGCAGTAAGGAACAGAGACAAGAGAGACAAGGAGGGGCTGGGATTGCTGGACTGGAGTATGACGGACATTGGAATGTGAGTGTCTGACCGGATGTAAGCAGCGAGGGCGAGCAGCATCTCCTGTGTGAGCACCTCGTAGTGCACCCTTGCTGCCATGCCCGGCCCACTGCCCTGCCCCCCCTCTCCCACTGCTGGCATCACTCCCACCGCGCACCCCCCACGGTGCCTCTCAGAATCAGGATGTTCCTGCTGCTGCTCGCTCGCCTCCCTACTCCCCTCGCCTGCTCCAGTGGCTACCTGCCACGTGGAAGGCCAGCTCAGCCTGCCAGCTGTGAAGGCCTTCCACTGCTGGCATCCGTGGCACGTGCAGGAGATTACGCCCCCTGGGGTGATCTGAGGAGGCGTGCAAGACAGAGGGGACAGAGGGGGGTGCAGGCGAGCAGGGGGTATGGTGAGGGGGACAGGGGAACAGGAGGTGCAGGGGGGCATGGAGAGAGGGGAAGGGGAGCAGGGGAGAGGGGGGCAGGAGGAGGGAGCAACTGAGTACGAAACGAAGCCCCCTGGGATGATCTAAGGCACAGTGTGAGGCGAGAGGGGAGAGGGGAGAGGCGAGAGGGGAGAGGGAGAGGGAGAGGCGAGATGCGAGAGGGGAGAGGGGAAGAGGAAAAGAGAGAGTTAAGGGGGGGCAAGGGGGGCATGTTGAGGGGTTAAGGGGGTGAGGCCGAGAGAGGCGGCTGGGGAGGCGGATGGGGAGTGATATAATGGTTGTGAATTGCTGTAGACCACTCGACTGTAGGTGCAACGATCAGTGCAAGTGGAGACGGGGGAGGAAGGCGGATCGGGGAATAGAAGCAAAATCGCGGAGGCAAAAGGGGGGCAGGGAACAGGGGGAGACGGCGGGACGAGGCGCTCTAATGGAAGGGCTGCTTGCGCGTTGGGTTACACGCACGCCCTCTTGGCAGGTCGGTCGCTCGAGGAGGGGAATAGAGGCGAAGGTAGAATGGGCGGCAATATAAGGTTGAAAAGGAGGGGGTTGACTGGAGGGAGGGAGAGAGGGGCGAGGGTGGGAAAAGGTGCCGTGCCTGGTATCCGTTTTCGGGAAATCAACAATCACCCGAGCCGCACCTGAGCCGCGTTCGCACTGGTCCCTTCACTGCAGGTCAGGGCAGGGCACCGCGTGGGGCGGATGAGCGCATCACGCGGACGTGCGTAGGCGGGAGGGCTCCAGCACAATTCACTCGTCGTGCCTCACGGGGAGAGCCGCAGGGAACGAGCGCGGAACGGGGAGCATCAGGGAGCGCGGCGCAGGGAGCGCGGAGCAGGGAGCGCGGGGGGTCGGTACGTTTGACGAGGCGACCGCGCCGAGCTACTCCACGCTTCGCCTCTCACAACTAACATTAGAATGCGTCACCTCTGTGCTTGGGTCGAGCGCATAGTACTCATGCGTGCTGCTAATGCGCGGGACTGACGACCCATCAGCGCACGCGGCAGTGCCGCACCATCAGCGCGGTAGTAGCATCAGCTCATGCGCACTCGGCGGGAGTCACCTGCGGGGTGCACGAGGAGCCGTCGAAAAGCCCGAACGCAGCTACGACGTCGCAGAACGCGGGGAGCCCGAGGGACGGCCGGGAATGCGCACTGCGGCCTGGCAGGCCGTGCGTCGCCGAGTGCACGCGCGGAGCTGCCATGCACGCACGAACCGCGCGGCTGGATGCTGGAACGCCGCTGTCGCACGGAATGGTTCGCACCGGGGAGGCACTTCAGCGGACAGTCACAAGCGCGAGGGACGGCTTGGAGTAGAAGCACGGAGCCGCCATGCACGCACAGGGAGGTTGCTTCTGAAAGGAAAATGTCTGCAGCGCTGAGCCGGAAGAATGGTTAGGAGCGAAGAGAAGCACTTTAACCAACAGTGGGCGAAGCTCGGTAAGGCTCGGTGAAGGCCGCAATCACCCACCGCATTTTTGTTACAGTATCTCGTTGTTTTAGCATTTGTACCGGTAGTTTTTATAATCCTAAATTGCTTTGCGTTCTAACTACCTTCAACGATTCTGACATGAGCAAGATCTTCATACCGTACCTTGCACATTTTTTATGCTATGACTAAAAATCATACAGGAGGCTAAAGATATGCCATCTAAGGAACCAATCCACACCCTTTTTCCCCATCAGTCGTTCACTATCGCTGGCCCCTGTGCACCTCCACCCTCAAGTGCTCGCTCCTCCAGTTTCTCCCACACCCTCCTCGCCATGAGCTCATATGTCGCCACCACTGCCTCCTCTGCCCCACCACTCCCAGTGCCTGCCCCCTCCTCTGCTGCTCCCCCACCTTCTGCCCCTCCAGCTTCTGTTCCCCCTACTTGGGCCGCCCCGCCTTCGGCTGCACCACTATCAGCCGACCCACTGTCTGCTGCCCTGCTTTCTCTCCCGCTAGCAGCAGCGGCTGAGGCGCCGAGAGCAACGGGGAGGCCGCTGTCTGAGCGACTGCGGATGGACGGCAGCAGAGGCACCTGTGAGAGGGGGGAGGAAGCGCAGAAAGAGGGGGGGAAGGGGAGGGGAAGGGGCAGAGAGAACAAGGGGAGTGGGAGAGGGAAGGAGAGGAGAAGCCACGAGGAAGTGAGGAAAGGAAGGTTGCTTCAGGACAAGAGAGTAAGGAGTGGGGAGGGGTGGAGGAGGGAAAGGAGGCCAAGAGTCGGAGGAAGGGTATGGGTGGGACGAACAAAACGGACGCAAAAGAGGCAGGGCACAGGAAAAAGCACATTTATCTCTGCTGAAATCGCCTCTGTCATAAGTGTGGAGAAAAGCCCACCCACCTTTCCACGGAGCTTGTGTAACTTCTGAACTTCCTAATAAATCTGTAATTGTCAGGAATCCACGTGTGCTGGCAATTCAACTCTCCAGCAACCCACCTCTGCCATCTCTGGCACTCTCAGCAACCCACCTCTGCCAGAAACTCGATCTCCAGGTCAGCGGCAGCCTGTCGGGCCCCTCCATGGCCGAAGATGTTTGAGCGGTGGGAGCAGGCCGGGCAGGTGAAGTAACTCATGTTCTCCACCACTCCCAACACCTGCATGCAGGGGCGGTGGCAGTTGCATGGAGGGGCGCACGGAGGCGTGTGGAAGGTGCACAATTGGAGAAGAGATGGTATTTGGAGCCTGCACAGTCTTGAGAGGAGCCGCTGCGCCCCAATTTGACAGAAGGCAAGGTAAAAGCTGACTCCTGCCAAATCATGCAACTATCACAGCACCCACCATGCCTCTATCGCAGCACCCACCGACACGTTGACTTGACAGAACATCGTGGCTCCCACTCACACTGACCACCACGCCACAGCCAAATCACAGCTCCCACCATTGCACCATCCCACCAGCAGAGCACCCACCCCATCGCCCACCATCCAAGAACCCCATCGCCCACCATCCCACAACCCCATCGCCCACCATCCCACAACCCCATGGCTCACCGGCACGTTGACCTGTCGGAACATGGTCACTCCCCGCCGCGCATCCATCAGTGCGAGGTCCTGCGGTGTCGACACCACCACCGCTCCTGGTAAGGGGACGGGTGGAGGGGAGGACAGGTGGATGGGTGGATGGATAAATGGGTAGATGGGTGGTCCGTGGACAAATGGAAGAGTGGGAGGGAGGAGGGTTGCGAGCTACTGAAGCGAATGAACCAGTCGCACTTACCCAGCTCCACCTCCCTGGACGAACCTCCTCACTGCCACGCAATACGGACACCACCAGCACACACACCAACCCACCCCCACAGCTTCCTCCTGTGCTGCTGGACTCATACCACTGCATTCCATCCATCGCATCACACCCCATCCTATGCTGTCCACCATTTACCTGAGAGGCGGACGCGCTGGCTCATGCTGAGCTGCACATCCCCCATGCCGGGCGGCATGTCCACCACAAGCACGTCCCAACCCATCCCTTCCAACCCCATCTTGCCTGCCACTTACCTGACAAGCGGACCCTCTGGCTCATGCTGAGCTGCACGTCACCCGTGCCGGGCGGCATGTCCACCACGAGCACATCCAGCCGCCCCCACTCCGTCCCCCTTACAAGCTTCTCCACCGCCGCCATCACCATGGGCCCGCGCCACACGGCCGCCATGTCAGCAGGCATGAGGAAGCCCATGGACATGCAGAGCACGCCGTGCGCCTGCAGTGGCAGCATGCGCGCATTGGGGGAGGGTGACGCCAGCACGGGGCGGCCAGCTGTGTGCAGGCCGAGTAGCTTGGGCAGTGAGGGGCCGAACACGTCCGCGTCTAGTAGCCCCACCTGCAGGCGCATGTGGCGTGAAAGGGCTACTGCTAGGTTCACTGCGGTAGGGAGGGGTGAAGGGAGGGAGTGGCACAGTGCAGGCCAAGCAGGTTGGGCAATGAGGGGCCGAACACGTCGGCATCCAGCAGCCCCACCTGCAGGCGCATGTGAAGAGAAAGGGCTACAGCTAGGTTCACTGGGGGGAAAGAGGGGAGGGAGTGGTGGGGGGGAGAAGGTTGGGCAAAGGGGAGAAGTGGGGAGCGAGAGGTGGATGGAAGGAGGCAGAGGCGAGCATCCCCGCCTGCAGGCGCATGTAATAGGGAGGGAGAGCAGAGTGAGGAGGGGGTGGGGGTTCAAGGTTTGATGTTGATTGTTCAGGGAGGGAGGTGAGTGGAAATAGTCAAGGGGGAGGAAGGGGGGGGGGTATGTGCGGGGAAAGGAGGGACACAGTGCAGGCCGAGCAGGTTGGGCAGTGACGGGCCGAAGGCAGTTGAACGTGCAGGCGATGGGAGCGGCACTGCAGGGCACGGGGGATGGGGGACGGAGACATGGGGGAATGGAGGGAGAGGGGAAAGATGATTGGGGGGAGGAGTGATGGGGGATGGGAGATGGGGAAGGCGGGATGGGGGACGGGGGGATATGGGGGATGTAAGGAAGGGTGAATGGAAAGATTGGGGGAATGGGGACGGGGGGAATGGAGGGAAGGGCGGTAGAGGAGATGTGGAGGTAGGGGAGGATGGGGGGATAGTGGGAGATGGGCATGGGGTGATAAGTGGGTACGCAGGGGGAGGAATGGAATCACAGGCATGTGCTGAGAGGCATGGGACAACAGGGGTAGGGAGGGTGGTAAGCAAATGGAAGAAGGCAGATGTGAGCAGAGCGTGCGTGGAAGCCTGTGGCATGCTGTGAAGGGGAGGGAGAAGGGAAGGAGGGGGGAGGGAGGAGTGAGGGGAAGGGGGATAGGGAGGTGGAGAAGGGGATGGGGAGGAGGAAGGGAAAAGGAGTAAGGGTGAAAGGGAGGCGGGTGGGAAGAAAGATTGAGAAGGGGATAGAGAGGTGACAGAGGGGGAAGGGGGAGTGAGGTGGGGAGGGGGAGGGGGAGAGGGGAGGGTGGGATATGATGTGCGGAGAGGAAGCGACTTGGGGCACGGTGCTGAGGCGGAGAGGCGGAGAGGCGGAGAGGCGGAGAGGAGGGGAGGTGGGGAGGAGGGAAGGCAATGAGGCGCACCGGCAGTGGTGGACTTGCCGACGCCGCCTTTCGCGGACGCCACAGCCACGATGTGCTTCACCCCGGGCAGCGATAAACTGTCGCCGCCGCCGCCTCTGCTGTTTCTGCCGGCCGCGCTTCTATCGCTGCTGCCGCTGCTCACAGCACTGCTACTCGAAATACTCCTGCCAGTGCAGCCTACACCCCGATCACTGTTGCTGCTGCATCCGCTGCAGGTAGTAGCGCGGAAAGCAGGGTGAAAAGACCGGTCCGGCTTGGGATCGGCGTGTGCATGCGATTCGCGCGGAGGAAGCGACCTGCCATGCGACTCTCGCGAAGCGGGCGAAAATTCAAAAGAATTTCTTAGGACAGTTCCAGTGACGGCTTGCCCGCTAAATCGTCGAAGCCAGTCTTCGCCACGGCCGTGCGACGCGACGCTTCGACAGAGGCTCTTGCACTGCCGCAGTGCGAAACCGCTAGACATTTTTCCTCCTAGCTACCAGGTGCGACGGTCGGGGAAACTTGCGTTTCCAGGGTGGGCTTGTGTTTCGGCCTTCCTGTTACTGTCGCTTCGGTCTGAGATTGTGCTACTAGGGGAAGGAACATCGATCTAAGATTGTGCTTCGGTACAGGGTATCCACTTTTCCTTCCAGGGCACGAGTGTACTCAACGCCTTGAAAGGAACAAATTTGGAAAACGTTACGTGCCCTCCACTCGCGATTGACTCCTTGTGATATTTGTAGGGCATAAACGGCCGAAAACGAAGCCTGCTTTTTTGCAACGTCGTACTCGAGCGACTCGAACGGTTCGAGCGACTCGAGCGAATCTAGCGACGCGCGACCAGCTGCGACTGATGCGATTCAGAGCAACATGCGAAAGGAGTCGACGTTTACGACTGACACCGACTCCGCTGTCGCTGGTGTGTCGTGTGCGACGCTTGCGACGGCGTACGAGGCGCGGCGACTGGCGAAGGTCCGTGAGACACAGCGACTGGTGGCGGAGCTGCGGATGGAAGCGCAGGAGTTGAAGCAGGCTGCACGACTGCTAGCAGCACACGTTGGCGAAACGGCAAAAGACGTCAGCCGTGGAGAACGTCGGTTTATGCCGGCGGTCCAGCAGGTAGTGGTAGAAGCGCGCGGGGGGGGGGTGAGGCGTCGCACGGGGGATGAGGCGCGCGGGGATGATGAGGCGCGCGAGAGGGATGAGGCGCGCGGGGGGGATGAGGCGGCGCGCGGGAGGGATGAGGTGCGCGGGGGGGATGAGGCGCGCGGGGGGGATGAGGCGCGCGAGAGGGATGAGGCGCGCGGGGGGGATGAGGCGGCGCGCGGGAGGGATGAGGTGCGCGGGGGGGATGAGGCGCGCGGGGGGGGTGAGGCGCGTGGGGGGGATGAGGCGGGGCGCGGGAGGGATGAGGTGCGCGGGGGGGATGAGGCGCGCGGGGGGGATGAGGCGCGCGAGGGGTATGAGGCGTGCGGGGAGGATGAGGCAGCGCGGGGGGGGGATGAGGCAGCGCGCGGGGGGGATGAGGCGCGCGGGGGGGATGAGGCGGCGCGCGGGGGGGATGAGGCGGCGCGCGGGGGGGATGAGGCGCGCGGATACTTTGAGGCGGGTGGGGAGCAAGCGAGGTGCCTTGCTGATGGATGCCCACGGGGGGGAGGAGGGAAGGAGCGGCGGTGGCAGTTTGCCCGCATGGCTGCATGAGGGGAGGAATGCCATTGCCTCATATTGCTGCCCAATCGCTGTTCCCTCAGCGCCTCCATCACATCCCTCATGCCCTCTCGTCCCACCTTCATCCTCACCTGCCCTGCCTTGCCTACCGCTGCTTCTCTTGCCCGCCCTGCCGCTGCCACCAGGGCCGTGGGGCGAGTGGAATACTGTGCGACCTTCCCCCCCTCGCACTCGCACTCGCCTGCCCGCGCACAGCATGGCCGCCGTGGCGGTGGCGGCAGCGAGCGCAGGGAGGGTGGCTGGCAAGGGGAGGAAGGGTGCGCTGGTGTGGGTGCCGCGGTGCTTCTTCCCCCAATGGGGGCAGTACTGTGCAGCAGCGGTGGGGCAAAGCAAGCAAGACCGAGGAGAGGCAGGTGGAGAGGGCGAGGAGATTGCAGGGAGGGGGCGAGTGCAGCAGCGCAAGTGGGAGGAGTGCGGTGGGGGAGGAGGGGTGGAGAGGCGAGCAGCAGACGGCACTCGGAGGGGCTGGGAGGGGCGGGCAGGCAGTGAGGGGCTGGCGTGGGTTTCCAGGCCGTTTCTTGGGGTGGTGGGGGTGGTGGAGGTGGCAGCGCAGCACGGCACGGTGCATGGGGTCCGAATGAAGGGCACACAGCTGTGCTCAGGCAGGTGCGGGTGGTGCTGCAGAGGCATGGGCGTGGGCGTGGGTGCAGTGAGGCAGGGGGCGAGGAGGATGGAGGCGGTGAGGCCAGCAACGGTGCATGCAGGCAGGTAGGTAGCAGCAAAGGGGAGGGGGGACGGTGCAGCAACGAGAGAGGGCCAGGTGGGGCGGGCATGGAGGCAGAGCGGGAGAGGGAGAGGGAGAGGGAGAGGGAGAGGGAGAGGGAGAGGGAGAGGGAGAGGGAGAGGGAGAGGGAGAGGGAGGTGATGTGGGCCCCGCAACCGTTCCTCACTGCCGGTGGCGTGCGCGTGCTGCCCTGGCAGGTTGTGAACGCAGTGGTGTGCGGGGAGGGGGATCGCAGAGAGGAGAAGGGGGAGACATGGCTGAAGGGCTGGACCAAGCTGATTGGAAGAGGAGAAATCAGCATGGGACAAAGGGTGACCAACGTGCAAGAGGGGAAAGGCAGAGTGCATGAGAGGGAGGAAGGGAAGGGGGGGAAGGCAATGGTAGGCTGTTATGGGCGTGAAGGGATTTCCTTTCCAACGGGAGGGGTGTGGTGCCGCAGGGAGAGGGGGAGTCACAAGGGGGGGGGCACAGGGAGGGGAGGGTCAGGCGCTGCACAGGGGAGAGGACAGAGAGGACGATGCACACTGTGGTGGTGGTGGTGGTGGTGGCGGCGGCGGCGGCGGCGGCGGCGACGGCGGTGGTGGTCGTGGTGGCAATGCTGGCTTGATGCTGAGCTATGTGGGCATATACGCTCTGGACGGCGAGCGTCTGGCGTATATACGCTAGCGTCCATACGCTGGACGCTGGACGCTCGCTGGACGTTGGACGCTCGCCAAAAAAAATTCCGGGCAGCCCGACGAAAAAAATCGCGCGACAAATTGAGACATGCGATTTCAGCGCGAATGTAATTTCGAAACAGATCTGGTTCAATATCGCCAAAACAGAACCAGATCCAACAAATTGACCATGCAATTTCTCCTTTTACCGCATTTCACCCCTCCCAATCTAGCAAAGCCAACCCATCGTAAGGGCGGGTCAAACTTTGTACATATACGGAAAATTTTCAGCTCAGTTACCAGAATTAAGCATGTAACAGAACTTTTTACGTACAAAATCAGTTTGACGCGAGACTGTACATAAATGAGCTCATTTCGGAAACGTGCCCCGGGACGTGTGGAACACACCCGAAGGTTCGTCTCCTAAATCGCTTCCCGTCAAAGTCGTCAAACAGTAACGCCCCTTTTTCGCCAACACCGTTTCGCCATGGTATTATCCCTTTCGCCTTAGATGCGGAAACCCTCGCATCATTTGGTAACTCCCTTTCCCTCCGCAACGATCATGTGCCTCGTCAAAAGTCCGCACTGTACACTTCGAACTGGACAGGATGTTGAGAATAGTGACATAAGTAGGAGTTAGGTTTAGGGCCTAGGCTTGGTAGCCTAGGCCAAGGGGGAGTCGAGAAATTTGTGCCAAGAGAGAAAGTCGAGAATGGGAATGGTGTTCACTATAGCACTAGGGTACATATAGCAAACAGAGCATGCAAAGAAGGTGCACCACCAACAGTTTATAATAACTACACTAAACTACAGCTACAGGCAGTTACAGATATATTCTAACACTCCCCCATAACTGCCTGCAGCAAGAGTTTGTGCAGAACACAACGTGCAGGGGTACACCAGCAACAGCAACAGCAGGCACAGTAACAGAGCAGGTACAGCAGCAAAGGGACGGGCGACAGCAAGACATTCCTGCCACCCCCTTACTCTCTTCCCCCCCCGTCCACAGGAGGGACAGCAGTGAGAGAGAGGAGGCGGGCTGGCTCTGGCTGGTCACCCCCTCCATCCCCTCACCCTCCCCCTCCCCCTCCCCCCCACACTGCTGCAGGAGCAGCAGAGGGGGGAAGAGAGGAGAGGTGGAGGGACGGCTGCTGGTTGGTCTCACACCCGCCACCCCAGTGCCACTCCCCCGGCTCCCCCACACCCTCACACCCTCCCCCCCAGCGGCAGCTGTAGCAGTGGGAATGAAAGGAGGAGGAGGGGAAGGGAAGCACACCACCCATCACCCCCACACCCGCCACCCCCATACCCTCCCCCCCACGGCTGCAGGGAGACGAAGGAGGAGAGGGTGGGCGGGGAGAAAGCCACAGAGCGGCTACAGAGGGTCGGCGCGGGTAGGTCAGGGGCAGCTGCAGCGAGTGCAGGCGCGGGGTGAGGCAGAGGCGGCTGCACCGAGTGCAGGAGCGGGGGCGGCTGCTCCAAGGGCAGGCACTGGGTGGTGCAGGGGCGACTGCACCGAGTGCAGGCGCGGGTGAGGCAGGGGCACCGCCGCGGGCGCCAGGGGCGGGTCCGCGGCGGCTCAGGATACCGTCGCGGGCGCCAGGGGCGGTTCCGCGGCGGCTCAGGGCACCGTCGCGGGCGCCAGAGGCGGGTCCGCGGCGGCTTAGGTCACCGTCGCGGGCGCCAGGGGCGGGTCCGCGGCGGCTCAGGGCACCGTCGCGGGCGCCAGGGGCGGTTCCGCGGCGGCTCAGGGCACCGTTGCGGGCGCCAGAGGCGGATCCGCGGCGGCTCAGGGCACCGATGCGGACGCCAGTGGCGGATCCGCGGCGGCTCAGGGCACCGTCGCGCACCACGGGGCACGCGACGGGCAGTTCAGGGCACCGTCGCGTGCCACGGGGCGCACGACGGGCAGGTAAAACGTCACGCGCCACCCGGGCGCGGGACAGAAGGAAGTTCGCCACGCGCCCGTGGCGCGCGACCGGAAAAACAGCAGTGGAAGCTTGAGGCAGGCCCATAGGCCAGTACGTAACAGGCTCTAATGCCATGTTGAGAATAGTGACATAAGTAGGAGTTAGGTTTAGGGCCTAGGCTTGGTAGCCTAGGCCAAGGGGGAGTCGAGAAATTTGTGCCAAGAGAGAAAGTCGAGAATGGGAATGGTGTTCACTATAGCACTAGGGTACATATATCAAACAGAGCATGCAAAGAAGGTGCACCACCAACAGTTTATAATAACTACACTAAACTACAGCTACAGGCAGTTACAGATATATTCTAACACAGGAAACCTTAGTACTACGCCCTGGAGTACACTCAAATTTGACAAGTGTGTTGACGTAAAAATAACGAAAAAATTGGGAGTGTGCAAAGTTGGACCCGCCCTAAGTAGATCAACAAACTCGGCAGGCACATATCCCAGCCAGAGTTAGTCGACGATTAGGTTTCACTAGCTCACCTACGACCAGATTATTCGTAACAACTAGCTCACCTAGACTTGCGTTTAAGCTGACGAAATTCGCCTTTATGGCATCCGTTTAGAGAACTCCTTCAATCAAGCATACCATCTAATTCCAGCATAAATAACGTTTACCATCGGGATTCCATGGCGGAATCCTTGTGGCGCTCCCTTTTCCCCTCTTCCCCCCTCCCCCCGCTTTTTTCCACCCTGCCCGAAAAAAAGTTTTTAGCCTGCCCGACCCAAGCGTCCAGGGCTGGTCATCAGAGCGTCCAGCGTATATACGCTAGCGTCTAGACGCTAGCGTATGGGACGCTGGACGCATCCATGTCCACATAGATGCTGAGAGTGCTGCCACCAGTGCAGGTGAGAGTGCTCACCGGCAGCAGCAAGGGATGGAGATAGCGGGTCGATGGTGGTGGGGGGGGGGATCCATGCGTCGTCTCACTGCCTCACATCACTGCCTCACATCACTGCCTCACATCGCTGCACCGATCAGAGCCATGATGGCGGGGCGCACCACTCGGTGTGTGTCGTTCCGGGCGGGGAAGAACCAGATCTGCGCAGGCTGCCTCTTTTCCAGGTAGCCTTCTCGCCTCTGCTACTTTTCTCGCCTCAGGTACCCATCTTGCCTCAGTGTCATGGTTGCCATGCACTGCCATTGTTGCCATGCACTACCATCCACCTCGGCCCTCCATTGTTACGTTGCTACTAGGGCGTGTAACCATTTTTCCCTGGACGAGCCGAACTGCGGACCGTCCGGCCTCACGTGGGTTGTCGTCATGATGTTCGTGAAACCATGTGCGACGTCGCCAATATTATGAACCATTATGACACGTTCTCTCAATTTCAACGGTTCAAAATGTGAACCGTGGACAGTCCGAAACCCAAACGGATGGTCCGCCAATTCTGTGCAGGAATTGGCACACGAATTCCGTTTTGCAAAACTGTTCCAGGTCGTTTCAATGATTGAAATCGAGTCGTGCTGTATGGGCGAAAATGCGAGACATTGTGTATTGGGTTACACATGTACTGTGCACTGCGCAAGGCTACAGTACTCGCGAATGTGGAGTACCGGCAAAAAGTGTCATGTTTCTTTCCGGACGGTGGCAAGGTCCCGAACAGTCACATCGGACTGTCCTGTTCTCGATATTAGAACAGTCCATCTCAAAGTATACAGACCGTTCGAATAAATAAATAAATAAATAAAAATAAACAAAATGCTTGAGATTGCCTCGGATTGCCACTGATTGCCAGTTTGGCCACTTGTTCCTCCATAGTCAAATCTGACCGCATATCGCCACATATTACCACGCATTTTCACATGATTCATGGTTGACTGATTTTGCCCCTGTTGCCTAGTGTTGCCAGGTATTTCCATATGTTTCTCAATGTATCTACAGATGTCTATGATTTCCCACACATACGGTACATGTTGCCATGTTGTAACATACAGACACACATCGTCGTGCATTTAATGATGTTGCCGTGTGTTGCCGTGCCGCACCTACACATATTCTAATAGGTACCGGAGAGTGTTCTGGTGTGCCGAGGCATGTGTGGCTGCAGCTTCTGTAGTGCCAAGGAGGGGCAGGAAGCAACACGCTCCTTGTAGAGGTAAGGGGTGGAGCGGAATGAACCCTCAGCTGTGGGTTAAGAGCATTTGCCTGGGTGGACAAGCAATCACCTTAGCTTTGCCATCTTTGCCATCATGCTCACAGTTGACTCACTGCCTCGCACATACACTTGCCTGTGCTCACCTGTTGTCTTTCTCATGCATGGCATTGCATGAGACCTGTCATTCACGTGGATGTCGCCACTCACTTTCCAGGCCACAGGCACCGTCTCCCTCAGTGGCGCAAGTTCAGCTTCATTGATGCTGAAATACATGTAGACTTAGGAGGTATGAAAATGCATCGGTTGAAGGGTCGGCGCTACGACTTACCATATTCCCCCGGATATTACACCCCCTGATTAAACACCCACAAGTGGTTGATGTAGGCCTCAAAAGTCAGCGAAGAAAGGCTGATTTAGGGCATATTCCTACGCTCGTATCAGGCAAACCTCTTGTCAGCCTTGCCTGGTAAAAGTAGCGAGGGTTTTTGGGTTTAGGAAAATTTCAGTGGTGAAAGTAGCGAGCTTGATAAGAGGTTGGCCTGATAAGGGGCCGTAGGAACATGCCCTTAGGTACAAAAAGGCTGAGATTTCAGACCTTTTTTAGAACTGAGGCTGATTTTCCAGCAATGTGCTGGAAAGAAACAGGAAAATTTATTAGATTTGTACCGTCATACCCCGGATATACCCCCATGGGGGGCACTAATAAAACATGTTTTTTTTAGGGGGTGGGCTTATAATATAGTAAAATTATAAGCGCCGGCGTTTATGTTATGTCAAAAATGAAATTTGTTTTTAAATATACCAAATCGAAGCATTCTCAAAGGCGGATTCACCTGAGTCGAGAACGTTCGACTCTGTGCATGCTTTGCGCGTGAAACGGCCAACAAGGCGTGGCATCACGCCTTCCACGCCTTGTTGGCCAGGCCAGGTTCATCGAACGTGAACCTGGCCCATGCCAGGGCACACGTACTTCGCATCACAGCGGCCCAGTCAGGGTTGCATGCGATCGTGGGAACGTCGTGGTTCAGCCACGACGTGCCCATCAACAGCAAGATTCCCTGCAACCGAGGCAAAGAGCTGCCCCTTTCAGCTCCTCTGCGGGGAATCTTGACCGTGGCCACACTTTCCCCGCAGAGGAGGCCGGGCCGCAAAACTGAAGGGGTCTCGGGCGAGGGCTTCATACGGCCCTCATTCCCAACTTTTGGTTCAGTTTTCTTCGTTCGTTTGGCCTGCCGTGGCCATGGCGGGCCTTCCAGGCACGCATTTCTTGTTCCGCCGCCAACCTGCTGCTAGAGAAAATATCCGCAGAGACACTCGTGACTACTCTCAATGGCAGACGCGCACTGCGCCCGTCCCTCCACCACAACCAGTAGTGCCTCCCGTTCCTCCCACGCCTCCTACGCCTCCTACCCCTCCCGCTCCCCCGGCGCCTCCTATTCCTCCCGTTCCTCCGGCCCCTCCTGACCCGCCTGCTGTTGGTGTTCCGCGAAAGAGGGTTCTGCAGCTTCTCCTCCCCCCTGGCTACTTGGCGTTCGACGCCTTCCTGTCCGAGCCTGAACGCAGCGACGGCGAAGGATCTTCCTCCGCACCGGAGCCACGATGGGGAGCGCCGGCTGATTGCCCGTTGGACGAATCCGCTACCGGTGCCGACGACGACGTGGAGTTCTGGGCTGCTGACGGTCTCCCCGAGCACCTTCCAATTCCCTCCTTTCCCCCTCCGAATAAAAAAAGGCCCCACCCATCTCGCGATAATCGTGATGCCCGTCCTCCCTCCCCCAGGCACAAGCCGACAAAGCACAGGCGCAATTCCTACACCACGCATGAGAAGCTGCAATGGATTCTGAAGCTCGAAGCCGAAGAGATGAGTGTGCGGCGCATGTCTCGCGAATCCGGCATCTCCCGAAGGTGCCTCACGGAATGGAAGAACCGCAACTCTGAGCTTGAGGGCGCGCACGGTGCACGCTGTCGCCTGCACGGCCGGGAAAGGAGCTCGTGGTATCGCGACATGGAAGCGGAGGTGTACCGGAGGTTTCTCGCCCACCGCAAGAAGTGCCTCGCCGTCTCGATCGCACGACTGCAGAAGTGGTCGCACGAGGTGATGAAAGAGTTACACCCAGGTGAAAAGTGGGCCGGATCTCAGCGGTGGACTCAGCGCTTTCGCCGCCGCTGGAACCTGACGACCAGAGCGAAGACTCGGGTCGGCCAGAAGCTCTCGTCCAGTGAGTTGTTCTTTGGTGGTATTGTTGTTTGTCTGTTCCCATCTATTCACGGCTCTCACTCTGTGTTTGTGCTTTCTGTTCCTCCCATCCCGTGTCCCAGACTGCGAGACTGATGTCAAGAACTTCTGGACGTACGTGCATCACTCCCGCCGGCAGTACAAGATCGACCTGCCGTGGATTCTAAACGCGGACCAGACGCCCCTCTGGCTCGAGATGCCATCCGAACGCACCGTTGAAGAGGTTGGCTCGCGCTCCGTGCCCGTCCGCAGCGGCGGCTACCAGAAAGAGCGGGTTACAGTGATGCTCGCCTGCACCGCCAGCGGGGAGAAGTTGAAGCCGTGGGTCTTCTTCAAAAGGAAGACCGTCCCCAAAGGAGATTTCCCTTCAGGTATGCACCACACGTCGATTACGCGGTGGCATGTCGATGTCAGTTAAACTAACATCGTGGTTTTGTTGCTGTGCAGATATCCACGTGGGGGTCCATCCCAATGGGTGGATGGACGCGGACGGTGTCATCGAGTGGCTGGACAGGGCGGTGAAGCCGTACATGAACCCCAAGTTCGGAGTCCGCCCCCGCAAAGCTCTGCTCGTCCTCGATTCGTACCGCGGGGACCTGACCCCGGAGGTGAAGAAGAAGTTTGGCGAGCTGAACTTGGTCCTTGCGGTTATCCCTGCTGGCTGCACCTCGGAGATTCAACCCCTCGACGTCGCGGTTAACCGCTCCTTCAAGGCCGCCGTTCGCCAGCTCTACCAGGAGTGGTTTGAGTGTGACGAAGAAAGGTGAGAGGTGTAGCTCTTCTGTTTATGTTTTTATTTCTTTAACCCGTGCTGACCCGGTTTCTGGATTTGCGTGGTAGGCAACATCAAGAAGCCTCCTGTCGAGCTCACGCTCAAGTGGATCTCGGCGGCCTGGAAGTCCGTGCCCAAGGAGCTCATTCAACGGGCGTTCCTCACCTGCGGCATCAGCAACGCCCTGGATGGGTCCCAGGACAAGCTCTGCCTGCAACACAGGCGAGACGAGCTCGAGGGCGAGGAGGTCGACATGGATGATGAAATTGTAGCAGACGGTTTCTTCTGCAACAACGTAGAGGAACCTGAGTCGGACTCTGAGGCCGACCCAGATGACCCCACTGCAGCTGATGATTAGAGTAGGGTAGATTAACTAGTGTAGAAAATGGTGAAGCCTGTGTGAGGCTCGTAGGTAGGAGTAGATTAAGTAGTTGTAGATTCAATTATCATGATGTTTTAGTAGATTAATTATGTAAAAGGTCTTGAAATGAAAAAAAAAAAAAAAAAAAAAAACAGGGTGGCGGTTATAAAATGTAAGGCACAGGTATGCGTTTATAATCCGTAAGCCTTTTAGGTATGCGCTTATAATCAAGCACCGGATATAAGCGCCACACGCCAATTAAAAGCGCCAGGCGCTTATCCGCGGGTGGCGCTTATATCCGGGGTATGACGGGTGTAAAATGGCATACTGATTTGTCTGATTTTCAGCAAATGGTTTTGTACATACGGTACCAACTCTGATTTTTCAGCCCAGGCCATACGAATCTGAGGCCCACCGTGGTGTTTTATTCTATTTTTCACATCCATACGATGTCCGTGTTTTACAGAGCGATTAGTGTTGCACTATGGTTAGACATCAGAATTTCATTTGTTGGGAAAGAAAGGACAAGACTTCGCAGGGACATGCACGAGTATAAACGCCTGAAAAAAGGTGTATAAGCGCCTTGTTTGAGCAGTCATATGAGCCAATTCTTTTTGTCTGAGAAAACATACCGGTATGAACAACGAAAAATGGGTCTGAAATCTAGACCAACAGACTAAATTACTCTACTAACGAGAGAGAGCCCTGATATAAACTCCTTCTCCACACCAGTCTGACCGACCTCCCTGTTCAGCTACCCCAGTACCACACACATCGACATGCCTGAGTGCCCTGGCCTGATTGAGCGAATCCGGCAGAATCATGAGCGCCACACATCCCCGCAGATGCAGCGCCTCTAGGCGCGGCATCAGCCCCATGTCCGCAGGCAGGGAATGCAGCTGCTTGCAGCAGCTAAAGCTGGCCACACGGAGGGACGGCAGGCAGGGGAAGGAGGCGGGCAGGTGAGTGAAGGAGTTACAGTGGGTGATCGCCAGCTGGGCCAGTCGGGTCAGAGAGCCAAAGCCATCAGGGAGGGTGGAAAGCTTGGAGCACTTTGTGATGGCGAGGTGGACGAGGGAGGCGAGCGAGGAGAACGAGTCGGGGAGGGTGTGCAAGCGAGAGCAGGAGTGGATGGAGAGGCGTTGGAGGGCGCCTAGGGAGCTGAAATCAGCGGGTAGGGTGACCAGACAGTCACTGCCGGTGATGGTGAGTGTGTGGAGGCGAGAGAGGAGGCAGAAGGAAGGGGGCAGGCTGGCAAGGACTGGAGACTTCAGAGATGCTTTTTGCAGGGAGGTCAGCCTGCCGAAAGTGTCTGGCAGAGAGAAGAACGATCCCTCAATAGTCACCTTCGTTAGTGTCCTAAGGAAGCCAAGCTCTTGTGGTAGATGTTCCATAAGGGGCGGAATTCCCTTAACCGAAACATGTCTTTTCATCTCTAGCCACTCCAAGGCTGACAGGTGGCCGATGTTCTCTGGAACGAAGGGCTCAGTGTGTGGAACGCGCTTGCTCTTCATGATGCGTGATTTGCGAAGTGAGAGCAGACGGGCGAGGGGAGGAGGAGAGGGAATCAAAACGTCTGTGAGGTGAAGCTCGGTGAGGGAGGTGAGGTGGGAGATGAATGAGGGCAGAGTGAGGCGCTTGTCTTCCGAGCTGCTGCTGGTGGTGGTGGTGCTGCTGCTGTTGGCGATGGAGCAAAACTTGTACTTCAGCGATAAGGACTAGAGGGATGGGGCGAGGAGTGAGACGGATTTTGGGAGGCGGGGGAAGCAGCCGGAGAGGGAGAGAGAGCGGAGGTTGGTGAGGTGGCCAAACGCGGAAAGCACAAGACTGCTGGGCTTGAGATGGGTGATGGAGACGTGCGTGAGCGAGAGGAGAGACCAGAGGCGGGCGGTTAGGTAGCTCTCTTGTGAGCTGTTGTCGCCTAAGCTCAGATCTAGGTGTTTCAATGATGGGCCGAGAGGCGAGCTGTTTCCGGCATGAACGGCGGCGGCGCCGGCGGCGGCGGCGGCAGCAGCAGCAGTGGCAAAAGCAGCACCAGCACTAGCCGCAGCAGCAGCAAGAGCAGCAGCTGCAGCGGCCGAGGCAACGGCTGCAGCGGCGGTTTCTGAAGCGAGGGTTAGAGGCAGATAGGCCAGTAGTGATCCTTTGCGTGTGTCTCCTTGTTCCAACCATATCGCTCCGTCCACACTCACGTAAGACAACGACGGCAAGGAGAACAAGCCCACGGGGAAGTCCACGTTGTTAGAAACGGCGCGGACGTCAGTTGAACAATGGACCTTGAGCCTTTGGAGGGAGGTCAGTCGGCTGAGCGGGTGGAGCGGCGGAATGGACTCAAGACCCTCGAGAGTCAAGTAACGCAGCGTTGAATTCCGTACGACGTGGTCGAAGGGGAGAGACGTGAGCTCGTTGCAGGAGCAAAGGGTGAGGCGAGTGAGGGTTTCCAGCCAAGTGAGTGGGAGAGAGCGCATGCCGAATTCTTCAAGCGTGACCTCTTCCAGGTTCGCCAATGCTTCGCACCCGCCTGGTAACTCGCTGTCAAAGCGTCGCAGCTCTAGGCGCCGCAGCTGCCGCAGTGAGGTGATGCTACTCGGGAGTTGCAAGTCAAACGAGCCGTCGATGCAGAGGGAGGTGAGCGACAAGAGGTCGCCCAAAGAATCAGGCAGGCCGAATAAGTTCTCGCACTCAATGGAGAGGTGCGTCAAAGCTTTCAGCTGCCCGAAATTCTCGGGCAGCTCCAACAGCAACGAACAGCTGAGATGCAACTCCCGGAGCGCGGGCAGATGGCAAAGTCCATCCGGGAGATGTTCGAACTTGCTGGAGCTGAGGCGAAGCACTCGCAGCGACGACAGCGACGAGATGGAATCAGGAAGCTTGGTGACGTCGAGAGGAACCAGCAGCACGAGCTCCTGTAACTACGGCGCTGCGGCGCGGAAGAATGAATCGAGCGATGCGAGGCCGATCGTGAAGGGCGACGGTGCGGCGGTGAGACGAGGCTCGCCGAGGCTCAAGCCGGTGAGCTTGGGACAGGCGGAAAGCAGCGAGGTAAGGAAGCTATCGTCGTAGAAATCAACGGCGCCATTGCCCAGCGTCAAGGAAGTCACGTTCGGCGCGCGGGACAGCGTGCGGAAGAGCGCAGGCGCGGATAGTGTGGGCGCGGAGAGCGCGGGGACGGGGAGCGACTCGTTTTGATTGTCAGGGTCCTCCAGACGAGATGACGAGTCGGCAGCAGCGCTGATGCGCACGACGGGGAGCAGCGAAGCCCATCGCTTCGACACCATCCCCATGCCATGGCACGGGCTGACATCGGACTCGACGATGGGCTCCGCGTCGCTCGCGGCAGCGCCGACTTGAGAGTCCTTGTCTGTGGTTGCTGCGAGGAAGAAAATCCTAGACAGAATCTCGTCGGGCAGATTGTCCATTGTCGCTAACGATTTTCGCATGCTGCTGCTGCTGCTGGCCGATGGATCTGGATGTTCGTAACGCGGATGTTCGTAACGAGGATGCTCATTACGCGGGTGCTCGTCACCTGGTTTCTCCAAGCGCCGGCTAGCAAGATCGCATGGCCTCGACGGCTCGGGTGGACTTAGAGGCTCCATCTTTGATGCCTGATCTTACAAGTGCTTGTGGTTTCTGGGTTTGGCAATGTGGAGTGTTTTGCTTCAAAGCATATCCAATGATAGATCGCAATTCACTCAAGAGGAAGGCACTGCCAGGGCGTTCGCTGCTTATCTGTCCACAAAGTTCCTTCCGAGCGGGTCTTAGTTTTAAACCCACCAGGACGCGCGAGCTGGCGGAAGTTGTCTGCGCGGGGCAAAAAAACTATTCCCCATCGCGACCGACCGGCATGCCGTTCGGGAGCCTCAACCCTAAGGGCGTGTGTCTTTTGGATTTTATTGCGCAGTTCATGTTTTCTAGTCGATTTTTTACGTTTGAACCTAGGTCGACCTGTACTCGAGTATCTCAACTTTTGGGTCCCGAGTCGTGATTTTTCTCTCCCAAAAATCACATGGCACATCAAAGTTCGACTTCAGAAGTTGGACTTTGTACAGTAAAATCCGAGTCGCGCCCCAATTTCGTAGGTTACCTGATTTGAAGACGTAGCTCGTGAACGAATCTGGATTCAGTAACGAGGTAGGGTGTCTTTCGTTACCATCGCAAAAGTCGCAGATTCACTGCGCATGAGAAGAACACACGTTTGGCTAAACGGGCACGTGAAAATTCGACCCCAGTTCATTGTCCCTCTGTTTCATCAATCTTTGAACTTGGACACACGAATATCGCAAACAGCAGTAAACGAAATTAACGAAGCGGGTTACCATTAAAGGGTCGACCTCTTTTTTGAACCCCTACACCAAAAGACACGCGCCCTAAAATTTTAGGGTTGATGCCTCCCGAACCGCATGCCTTCCGAGCGGGTCTTAGTTTTTTTCTTGCCCGCGGGCAGCTCGATTCCGCGAGCATGCGGAAGCAATCCCGCAATCGCCCGTGCTTTACTGTTTGGGCGCATGCGTATGAACCTTTGAGAAATTCGAATGCATAAGCAAGGCTGTCAAAAGTTTGGACCCGTTACAGGTTCTCTTTTCTAGGCTACAAGTTGTCATTTAAAAATAACAAACTGGCAATGAAAAGAACGAGTGCACATATTGACGGAAAAAAAAACCTCCGAATCTCATGCACAAGATGTATTTTGCCATGCCCATATACCGTAACACTAACCTGTTGCATTTCTCGCTGTTTCACAACGACCGCTACGGGGTGACACTTGTATCCAGAGAGGGATGGCGTGCGGGGAGGCTTGGTGGTCAGCGGATTGGTGATGCATGTGCAGGCAGGTGGTGGCCTCAGATTCGTCGCGCTTGGTGCAGTCCCATCTCCGCTACCACTGCATGCAGCAGTGAGGGTTTGGTGGTTGGCGGGTTGGTGGTGCAGGTGCAGGCCGGCAGGTGGTGTGGCATGGCATGGGATGGCGTCAGATCAGATTCGCTGCGCAGGGTGCAGCCCCATCTCCGCCCCCACTGCATGCAGCAGTGAGCGCAGCGCCCCTGCCAGCTCCGGGTCCCTGCTGGGTGGGGGGAGGGCAGCGCAGGGCACATGTGATGATGGATTGAAGGGGAGGTGATGGGATGAAAGGGAGGTGGTGGGATGAAGACGGGGTGATGGGTTGAAGGGGAGGTGCTGCAGGGCACAGGTGGTGCAGGGAGCATGTGCTGGTATTGGTTCAGTCATCAGAGGGAGATGATCAAACTGGAATGGAATAAGTCTGGCAGGTAGAGGGTACTCCGTGGCAAGACTGCACAGGGGTGGGATGAAAACAGAGAAGCACAACGTTCGAATTTGCACACCCACAAGCTCCACCAATGGCATGCTGCCACGTGGCCATGCAGCAAGCATCACCTGGCAAGAATGAGGTCGCATGCGAAGGGGTAGATGGCGAACAGGTGGGCCTTGCGCCATCCCATGCTCCCGCCTTGCCCGTCCGGCAGCACCCGCCACTCACACTCACCCTCACTCCCCCTCCCACCATCCGCTCCCTTACTGCACTCCTCCCCACCCTCTTCCCCGCCCACCCTGCCAGCAGCACTAGCTGCTGCATTGATGCTGCTGTCAGAAAGAAAGGGCAGCTCTGCATCAGCGGGGGCCGATGCAGGAGTGGAAGAGGTAGGGGTGGAGGCGGGCTTGCTGCGTGGTGCAGTGTGGGCAGCAATGCTGTGAGCGAGGGAGGGCACTGGTGCTGCTGGGAGGGAGAGTGCAGTGAAGCCGTGAGCAGGAGGAGGGGTGCAGCGGAGCATGGCGGGGAGGAGGTGCGAGAGGGGCGCGGCGACAGCGGGGTGTAGCGAGATGGCTGTGAGACCTGCCAGGATGACCCTCACCTCCCTCCTGCGCGCTGCTGCCATGCTGCCCGCCCCTGTGATGAGAGGGCAAAGGGGAGGACAGGAGCAGGGTCAGGTGGAGGGGACAGACAGGGGGAGAGGACCGGTGGATTGGACTGACGGAGGGATCAGGTGGATTTCACGGGGGGGGGGGGGAGAGGGGACAGGAGGAGGGGGCAGTTGGAAGAGACAAGCAGAAAAAAAAACCCCAGGCAGTCCTCTGCACTCACCGCGCACCAGGCAGTCCTCTGCACTCACCGCGCACCAGGCAGTCCTCTGCACTCACCGCGCACCAGGCAGTCCTCTGCACTCACCGCGCACCAGGCAGTCCTCTGCACTCACCGCGCACCAGGCAGTCCTCTGCACTCACCGCGCACCAGGCAGTCCTCTGCACTCACCGCGCACCAGGCAGTCCTCTGCACTCACCGCGCACCAGGCAGTCCTCTGCACTCACCGCGCACCAGGCAGTCCTCTGCACTCACCGCGCACCAGGCAGTCCTCTGCACTCACCGCGCACCAGGCAGTCCTCTGCACTCACCGCGCACCAGGCAGTCCTCTGCACTCACCGCGCACCAGGCAGTCCTCTGCACTCACCGCGCACCAGGCAGTCCTCTGCACTCACCGCGCACCAGGCAGTCCTCTGCACTCACCGCGCACCAGGCAGTCCTCTGCACTCACCGCGCACCAGGCAGTCCTCTGCACTCACCGCGCACCAGGCAGTCCTCTGCACTCACCGCGCACCAGGCAGTCCTCTGCACTCACCGCGCACCAGGCAGTCCTCTGCACTCACCGCGCACCAGGCAGTCCTCTGCACTCACCGCGCACCAGGCAGTCCTCTGCACTCACCGCGCACCAGGCAGTCCTCTGCACTCACCGCGCACCAGGCAGTCCTCTGCACTCACCGCGCACCAGGCAGTCCTCTGCACTCACCGCGCACCAGGCAGTCCTCTGCACTCACCGCGCACCAGGCAGTCCTCTGCACTCACCGCGCACCAGGCAGTCCTCTGCACTCACCGCGCACCAGGCAGTCCTCTGCACTCACCGCGCACCAGGCAGTCCTCTGCACTCACCGCGCACCAGGCAGTCCTCTGCACTCACCGCGCACCAGGCAGTCCTCTGCACTCACCGCGCACCAGGCAGTCCTCTGCACTCACCGCGCACCAGGCAGTCCTCTGCACTCACCGCGCACCAGGCAGTCCTCTGCACTCACCGCGCACCAGGCAGTCCTCTGCACTCACCGCGCACCAGGCAGTCCTCTGCACTCACCGCGCACCAGGCAGTCCTCTGCACTCACCGCGCACCAGGCAGTCCTCTGCACTCACCGCGCACCAGGCAGTCCTCTGCACTCACCGCGCACCAGGCAGTCCTCTGCACTCACCGCGCACCAGGCAGTCCTCTGCACTCACCGCGCACCAGGCAGTCCTCTGCACTCACCGCGCACCAGGCAGTCCTCTGCACTCACCGCGCACCAGGCAGTCCTCTGCACTCACCGCGCACCAGGCAGTCCTCTGCACTCACCGCGCACCAGGCAGTCCTCTGCACTCACCGCGCACCAGGCAGTCCTCTGCACTCACCGCGCACCAGGCAGTCCTCTGCACTCACCGCGCACCAGGCAGTCCTCTGCACTCACCGCGCACCAGGCAGTCCTCTGCACTCACCGCGCACCAGGCAGTCCTCTGCACTCACCGCGCACCAGGCAGTCCTCTGCACTCACCGCGCACCAGGCAGTCCTCTGCACTCACCGCGCACCAGGCAGTCCTCTGCACTCACCGCGCACCAGGCAGTCCTCTGCACTCACCGCGCACCAGGCAGTCCTCTGCACTCACCGCGCACCAGGCAGTCCTCTGCACTCACCGCGCACCAGGCAGTCCTCTGCACTCACCGCGCACCAGGCAGTCCTCTGCACTCACCGCGCACCAGGCAGTCCTCTGCACTCACCGCGCACCAGGCAGTCCTCTGCACTCACCGCGCACCAGGCAGTCCTCTGCACTCACCGCGCACCAGGCAGTCCTCTGCACTCACCGCGCACCAGGCAGTCCTCTGCACTCACCGCGCACCAGGCAGTCCTCTGCACTCACCGCGCACCAGGCAGTCCTCTGCACTCACCGCGCACCAGGCAGTCCTCTGCACTCACCGCGCACCAGGCAGTCCTCTGCACTCACCGCGCACCAGGCAGTCCTCTGCACTCACCGCGCACCAGGCAGTCCTCTGCACTCACCGCGCACCAGGCAGTCCTCTGCACTCACCGCGCACCAGGCAGTCCTCTGCACTCACCGCGCACCAGGCAGTCCTCTGCACTCACCGCGCACCAGGCAGTCCTCTGCACTCACCGCGCACCAGGCAGTCCTCTGCACTCACCGCGCACCAGGCAGTCCTCTGCACTCACCGCGCACCAGGCAGTCCTCTGCACTCACCGCGCACCAGGCAGTCCTCTGCACTCACCGCGCACCAGGCAGTCCTCTGCACTCACCGCGCACCAGGCAGTCCTCTGCACTCACCGCGCACCAGGCAGTCCTCTGCACTCACCGCGCACCAGGCAGTCCTCTGCACTCACCGCGCACCAGGCAGTCCTCTGCACTCACCGCGCACCAGGCAGTCCTCTGCACTCACCGCGCACCAGGCAGTCCTCTGCACTCACCGCGCACCAGGCAGTCCTCTGCACTCACCGCGCACCAGGCAGTCCTCTGCACTCACCGCGCACCAGGCAGTCCTCTGCACTCACCGCGCACCAGGCAGTCCTCTGCACTCACCGCGCACCAGGCAGTCCTCTGCACTCACCGCGCACCAGGCAGTCCTCTGCACTCACCGCGCACCAGGCAGTCCTCTGCACTCACCGCGCACCAGGCAGTCCTCTGCACTCACCGCGCACCAGGCAGTCCTCTGCACTCACCGCGCACCAGGCAGTCCTCTGCACTCACCGCGCACCAGGCAGTCCTCTGCACTCACCGCGCACCAGGCAGTCCTCTGCACTCACCGCGCACCAGGCAGTCCTCTGCACTCACCGCGCACCAGGCAGTCCTCTGCACTCACCGCGCACCAGGCAGTCCTCTGCACTCACCGCGCACCAGGCAGTCCTCTGCACTCACCGCGCACCAGGCAGTCCTCTGCACTCACCGCGCACCAGGCAGTCCTCTGCACTCACCGCGCACCAGGCAGTCCTCTGCACTCACCGCGCACCAGGCAGTCCTCTGCACTCACCGCGCACCAGGCAGTCCTCTGCACTCACCGCGCACCAGGCAGTCCTCTGCACTCACCGCGCACCAGGCAGTCCTCTGCACTCACCGCGCACCAGGCAGTCCTCTGCACTCACCGCGCACCAGGCAGTCCTCTGCACTCACCGCGCACCAGGCAGTCCTCTGCACTCACCGCGCACCAGGCAGTCCTCTGCACTCACCGCGCACCAGGCAGTCCTCTGCACTCACCGCGCACCAGGCAGTCCTCTGCACTCACCGCGCACCAGGCAGTCCTCTGCACTCACCGCGCACCAGGCAGTCCTCTGCACTCACCGCGCACCAGGCAGTCCTCTGCACTCACCGCGCACCAGGCAGTCCTCTGCACTCACCGCGCACCAGGCAGTCCTCTGCACTCACCGCGCACCAGGCAGTCCTCTGCACTCACCGCGCACCAGGCAGTCCTCTGCACTCACCGCGCACCAGGCAGTCCTCTGCACTCACCGCGCACCAGGCAGTCCTCTGCACTCACCGCGCACCAGGCAGTCCTCTGCACTCACCGCGCACCAGGCAGTCCTCTGCACTCACCGCGCACCAGGCAGTCCTCTGCACTCACCGCGCACCAGGCAGTCCTCTGCACTCACCGCGCACCAGGCAGTCCTCTGCACTCACCGCGCACCAGGCAGTCCTCTGCACTCACCGCGCACCAGGCAGTCCTCTGCACTCACCGCGCACCAGGCAGTCCTCTGCACTCACCGCGCACCAGGCAGTCCTCTGCACTCACCGCGCACCAGGCAGTCCTCTGCACTCACCGCGCACCAGGCAGTCCTCTGCACTCACCGCGCACCAGGCAGTCCTCTGCACTCACCGCGCACCAGGCAGTCCTCTGCACTCACCGCGCACCAGGCAGTCCTCTGCACTCACCGCGCACCAGGCAGTCCTCTGCACTCACCGCGCACCAGGCAGTCCTCTGCACTCACCGCGCACCAGGCAGTCCTCTGCACTCACCGCGCACCAGGCAGTCCTCTGCACTCACCGCGCACCAGGCAGTCCTCTGCACTCACCGCGCACCAGGCAGTCCTCTGCACTCACCGCGCACCAGGCAGTCCTCTGCACTCACCGCGCACCAGGCAGTCCTCTGCACTCACCGCGCACCAGGCAGTCCTCTGCACTCACCGCGCACCAGGCAGTCCTCTGCACTCACCGCGCACCAGGCAGTCCTCTGCACTCACCGCGCACCAGGCAGTCCTCTGCACTCACCGCGCACCAGGCAGTCCTCTGCACTCACCGCGCACCAGGCAGTCCTCTGCACTCACCGCGCACCAGGCAGTCCTCTGCACTCACCGCGCACCAGGCAGTCCTCTGCACTCACCGCGCACCAGGCAGTCCTCTGCACTCACCGCGCACCAGGCAGTCCTCTGCACTCACCGCGCACCAGGCAGTCCTCTGCACTCACCGCGCACCAGGCAGTCCTCTGCACTCACCGCGCACCAGGCAGTCCTCTGCACTCACCGCGCACCAGGCAGTCCTCTGCACTCACCGCGCACCAGGCAGTCCTCTGCACTCACCGCGCACCAGGCAGTCCTCTGCACTCACCGCGCACCAGGCAGTCCTCTGCACTCACCGCGCACCAGGCAGTCCTCTGCACTCACCGCGCACCAGGCAGTCCTCTGCACTCACCGCGCACCAGGCAGTCCTCTGCACTCACCGCGCACCAGGCAGTCCTCTGCACTCACCGCGCACCAGGCAGTCCTCTGCACTCACCGCGCACCAGGCAGTCCTCTGCACTCACCGCGCACCAGGCAGTCCTCTGCACTCACCGCGCACCAGGCAGTCCTCTGCACTCACCGCGCACCAGGCAGTCC